TAAACAATCTTAGGCATTGTAGCCTTTCCTCATAGGGAAATTGCTCCCTCTTTTTACAGCTTTTTCAAGTCTGAAAATATTGTTTTTGAGGTGCAGTGGCCAGAACTGTGTATAATATAACAAATATGGTTGCAACATACATTTGGATAATTGTGTTCTGATAACAGCAGTTTTGTTTTTGACTTCTAATTATGCCCAGCATGGAATTTGTCTTTTTCTCAGCAGTCTCATACTTAAGTCAGCATTTGCATTGATCTACCACAGCATCAAGACTCTTGGTTTGTCACTGCCGGCTCATATCCCATCAGTGTGGGATCCTAAAGCTAGGATTTTTTCCCACCGTACACTTGCCATTTTAATGTACAGTATCCCATTTGAAGAGAGCCCTTTGGAGTTCCTTGTAATCCCTTTTTGTTTAAACCACTCTAAATAATTTGGTGACATCAACAAATTTGGCCATCTCACATCTACCTCCAGATCATTTAAGAACAAGTTGAAAAGCACAGTTCCCAGTGGTCAGGATGCACAGAGCAGAGCCGCATCCTCTGGTGGCTTGCTAGAGCAGGCAGGCAGGTTCATCTTGCCAGAACTTGTAGGACTGCTATCAGGCCTTAGGTGCTTGGAGGGATTAGAACTACTGCAGTCATGGAACCAGCTGGAAGTCACAGCTGGAGGGACTATAAAAGGCTGGTCAGTGCTGCCTGCTTTTGGCACAGCAAGATGAGTCTTTGAGGTGCTTGCTTTTTGTTTCTGTTTCCAGTTTTGCAATGCCTTCATCTGTGCCCTGACACCTGCCTGTTTCCGACTCTGCCTTTGTTTCTGGTGCTACCATGCCTATGTCAGGTATCTGCACCTTGTATTTTCCCGGCCTTGTCTTCACCTGTACCTTACCTTGTTGGTATGTGACCTTTGCTTGCTCTTGAACTTGGCTTCTCCTCTGGCTCACTAGACCTTCATCCACCCCTCTCTGGAGTGAATAGAATAGAATAAGAGTTGGAAGGGGCCTACGAAGCCATTGAGTCCAACCTCTTGCTCTACTTCCACATGCGGTTGCTTGGCTGCAGGCCTGTGCCCTTCTAGTTTAGCAAAGGTGACTCGACATGTTAGTTAGGTGTATAGCTATGCAGAAAGGTTTGCTGAAGCCAAAAGATCTACACTCCAACAAGGGAACAAAATGGATGTGGAATTATCTTTCATTTTGTACATCTTGTAGGCCCAGGCATGCTGTCTGGAGGCCAAAGTTCACTCTTTGTGTGCTGCTTCTGTGGCCATGGGCTTAGCATCTCTGCTTCACTGGCCCCCTGCAGCTCTTTTGCCAGAACATTGCTATGGTGATCATATGGAAGCATGAGGTTGCATTAATCAGTGCCAGCTGCTATTCCAGATGTGTGCTGAGGTGTCACCCCTGCAGTACAGCCAGGCGATGGCGAACTTGTTTTCAAGGGTTGCCCTGATGTGGGCCTCTCTGCTATTGGAAGCAGATAATCCCTGCTGGGGAATCTTGATAAATTTATTCAAGCACTGAAGGGCATGTTCAGGGACGTGGACTATGCACACATGGCAAAATGGTTCTCCAGCCCGTCAAGCAGAACTGCCAGTCTGTTGTGGAGTATGCAGCTGGGTTCCACCACCTGGCAGCTGACCTACTATGGAATGAGGAAGCTCAATAATTTCATTTCTGGAGCTGCCTGAATTCCAACAAAAAGGGTGGGATGCCCCAAAGGGTGGGTTGCCCTTTGCATTAATATCAGTAAGCATCTAATGGAAAGATGTGTAGAATAGGGATGCTTTGTCAGAAAGCTCCATGGAATCTGCCAGTCTCTCGTTTGTGGACGTAAACTCACGCTCACTCCTGTTTTAGAATGTGAGCCCAGCTAACAGGAAGTCTGTGAACACTTGCAGAGCTCCAGCTGGGCAACCAGCACGTGAGGGCAGAAGAGGGTGTCGTCTGCTCAGTGTTTGCTTGGGGCTTGTTTCTTGCTGAGCGCAGTGCGGATACTGGGCACATTCACCAGGAACGCAGAATCATGGCCATGACAAGATAGACCAGGGTTCAAGCAGCTGAGCCAAGTGGATTTCCACCCCTAAAATGGATTCCTACACATTCATTTTGGTGATGGGTGATTTCCATTTGATCTCCCTTGCATGGGAATGGGTATCCAAGATACTACAACGGAACCATGCAGATCAGTATTTCCTGTTGTTGTTTGGCAGACTCTGTGAATCAGTGTCAGCAAGTCCTGGGTCTTCACTTCTGCTGTGGCACGAGGAGCATTATGCATCCTTCTGCTCCGCTAAAGCTCAGCACTGGAGAAATGAGCCACCTTGGTAGCCTTAGAGGGACACTACACTTTTTCCCCTAGTTTGGCTTCTCTTCCCTTACATTTCTCATCCTACCAACAAATGCATCTCCAGTGTCCCTTCGTGTGTCATCATTATCGATGACGACGACGACGATGATGAAATTTCATTTCTACACTGCCCATTGCCAAAGCTCTTTGTGGCATTGTTTTTCAGAACTTCACTCAGAAGGCAGGCTTCCCTCCGTTGTGAAAATCAGGCAGCTGCCTGGAGCAGCACAGTTCAAGGAATGCTAGCTATAATGGGAGTAGCGCTTGAGCCCAGTTCCTGGTGCTGCTTCTGGCATGCATGAGCCAGGCATGTCTCCCATGCAGGAATGCCTCCTTCAGAGTCTGGGTCCACCTCTGAATTCACAGGATGCACCAGCCATGCGGAGAGCATCGTACAAGACTGTGTGGCAGGTTCGGCAGGGGATGTTCTTGCTTCGGAGCTCCTGCTGCTCATCTTTCGAAGAAGAGAGTAAATGCAACGGCTGGGGAAATATCTGTGGGAACTCACTTGCCCAATGCCAGGCTGGTTTGACAAAATGAAGTGGCACTTCTGTTTGAACTAAGCACCCTGCCCAGTGCATCGTTAGCCTTGAGACACATGTCAGCATTTGTAGAGAGCAGTGTAGTGGCAGATTCAGAAGTGTGTGTGGGGGGGTCCCTTCATACTGGTCAGAGCCGCACCTCAAAGCCCCACCTCATCAAAGGCACGCCCTCCAAGCCACACCTGTTTCCAAGATCATGCAACCTATGATTACAATAAAAATGAGCTTTGTCACTTTGTTTGAATTTCGGTAGAGTAATGAATGCAAGGCGAGGGTACCTCTTTCTGAGGTGAAACAATGACAGCTTCTAGAAGTTATTATTTATTATGAATGAATGATTTTAAAAATTACATTCCTACCCACTTTCCAGCCAAAAAGCTTCCAGAGTGGCTTATTTGGAATTCTTAAGATAGTTCCTGCCCTCAGGCTTACTGCCTAAAAACATGACATACAAGGGGAAAGGGATAGGGAGAGAGGAGGGGAAAAAGGGGACTCAGGCACAAATCACCCACACTTACAGAAACAAATGTAGGTACATAATTCTAAGAGCAGCAGTCTGGATTGACAACCACTGTTTGCTGTCTTTTAATTTTCTGTGGCCTCTCCAAGCACTGACTTGGTTGAGTGCATATGTGTGGGAGATCCTCCATGAATCCAGAGTCCATAGTTTAGGGGTTCCAGTTTCTCAAATATCCAATAATCTTGTAAGAGGAAATTAAGGTTATCAGAAGTCATGGTGGATTTTCCCCATTGATTCCAGTGAATATACTCCAGTTATGATGCTTCTATTCCACTCTAGCCATTATTTCTCCCAAATTATTCTGGGACTAAGAGTTGCTAGTGAATACTATCAGCCGCACGGAGCTCCAATTCCCAGAAGTGTTGCTCAGTCAGTCCCCCTCTTGCAGAAGCTCTGGAAACCACCCTCTGAGTGAGGAGCAGGCATCCCCTGGAGACACTCGGTGCCCTTCGCCAAGCATGGCCCCCAGGTTCTCCGGGGAAGCAGTGGCTGCCTGAAGGCGCAACCCATGTGGGGCGTGACTGCAGGGGCTTGGGAGGTGGCTTTGGAGCAGCAAAGACAGGCAGAGCACATGCTGCTGAGGAACAGCGGCCAGCCCCGAGGCAAAGGGGCACCGAAGGCGTGTGCACCTGCCTGGCAGGTCTCTCCGGGGAGGGAGTTCCCAGGAGCTGCTGGGCGCTGTCAGAAGAGCCCTTCAGCCCTGGAATGCAGGATCTGGCAGCGTGGCAGCTCCCAGCTACAGACCACCAAAGGTACAGCTGCACAGAGGTGGGTCTGGGGCAGCGACTCCGGCTTCAGGGAGTCGGAAACCCCCTGTGGTGAGGGCCCCTCCACTATACCCTCGTTTGTAGACCTACCTAAAACCATGGAGTAGTCCTTCCCAGATATATTGGGCTGCACTCCAATCATCTGCAGGAACCGTGGCCAAGAAAAGAAGAAATGACAGTCCAGCGCTGAAACCTGACCACCCTACAGCACCAGTTCATTGCTACCCCAAGAAATAACATGGTGGCTTGCATGAGCGGTCACAGATCTTTCTTCATGGACAGAACATTCATATCATCTTACATTAATAATTTGCTATGGACTCAATGCACACCATTTATTTATTTATTTACATGTATTTATAGACCACCTATAAATTCATGTAAATCAATAAATGCATAAAACATATTAACAGAGTAAAATACATTAACACCAATTAAAACATGTATAAAAGCAATTAAAAAGGGCCACAGCATTCAGGCTAAATGTTTAAAAAATTCCTAAAAATATATTAGTTGTCAGTTATCAAGTGCACTGTAATACAGTACACAAAACCCAGCAGTTGCACTGCTTGTGCGGACCAGCCCTGGGGGCCAGGAACACGATGGACAAAAGTATCTGACTAGGGTCCTACGCAGGATCTGCAGTCATGTCTGCAATTCAGCTGTGCTTTACCAAAGTAGATGTGCGTGATGGTTACTTTGAAATGGCACAGATCTTCAGAAGCCAGATTTGGGTTCCGTGTCTTGCGATTTTGCCTATCTTGCTTGGTGTTGGCTTATGAGTGTCTTGACTTTTAATTGCCCATTCCTTTCTCCCCAGCTCTATGGCCAGTACACAGAGCAGCTCCCCAGTCTTTCCCAGAAGGAAGCAGCTAAACTCCTGGGAGAGACGAACCCCCAGGGCAATGGCCAGGGACCTCTGAAGCCAAGCGCTCAGGCGAAAATCAAGGACGAGCACAGCTCCAGGTGTCACGGTAGGCCACATGATGCTCGCTCTTCCTGCACACCCTTCCCACTGGTAGGGAAGCGCTGGCACGCTGTTCAGCATGGGGTAAAGTGTGTTTGATTGGCTTGTATGCGGCGGGGGGGGGGGGGAGAAGTGAAAAAAGAGTCTCATGAACAGAGAGTTCTCAGCATGGACGCCGTGCTTTCATTCATTCGAGGCTTCAGTGGCTAATGCTCCAGAGAAGTCGTGGTGAAGGAAGGCTGTTGCAGTGTGTGCACCCCAGGACAAATGGCAACTACAGGGACATACAAATAGCCTGATGGCCCTTTTATGGGGAAAAGTTACCGGAGGGGGATAAATTTGAACCAGAGAAGCCAGAATGGTTATCTCTTTCCCTACGGATTGCTTGTTCCCACAGAGCTTTTCTAACAGTCCTCTATAAGAAAAATCAATACCATCAAACAATCTCTTCTAAAGCTGGCTTGTTCGTGATGACTACCGAGTTCTCCTGGTAACTGTTCAGCCACGGGGAGCTAAATGTGCGTAAGGGCGGGATGGAGCACAGGTGCAGCTGATGGGGAAATAGTAAAACCCCAGCCGTCTTGCCAAACCCACTCTGGTACCGCACATGCAATTACTCTGTCAAAGCCATATTTGGAGTCTTGCTGGGAAAAGATGGGTGGCCAGGAAGGGGTCAGTGCTTCTTCCCATCCCTTTCTCAGTTGACCACCTGAAGAAATAATGGGGATGTAGCTCAGTGGAGACTGCCTGCCGTGTGTAAAGAAGGCCCCAGTGGTGTAGTGGTTAAGAGCATGGGACTGGGACTCAGGCGATCTGGGTTCTAGTCCCCGCTCGGCCATGGAGCCAACTGGGTGACTTTGGGCCAGTCACAGACTCTCAGCCCAACCTACCTCACAGGGTTGTTGTTGTGGGGATAAGGTGGAGGAGGAGAATAATGTAAGCTGCCTTGAGCCCTTTGTAGGAAAAAGGCAGGATATAAATCAAAAATAAATAAATAAATAAACTCCAGGTAGGACTTGAAAAACACTTTCCTGAAACCCCACAGAGCCCCTGCCACTCAGTGTCAACAGTACAGAGCTGGAGGGACGAGGGGTCTGACTGTATCAGGCCTCTTCTTATGTTCCTGTAGTTCTTGATAAAAAGAAGCCACTAGGTTGCCAAGATAGCCAGGATTCAGACTATACCTGTAGGGACTGCATCTTGGCAGCTCAAGTGCGGAGCCTGTTGGGGAAGGAACGGAGCCTGCCAACATCTGAGCCTTAGGAAAAAAACAAAACCAAGATCTCAAGTCTCTCCTTTGAACAGATCCCAGTGAAGGATTATCTCACCTTTCCCCATGCTTTCTCAATACATATTTATTATACCTGTGTTGATACCTTCCTGTTTTTCCCACCCAAAGTAGAAGAACAGATAGAAAAAGTAGGATGGATTTAACTTGAGAATGCAGAGGGAAGGCCGGGAACAGGCCCTGTAGAAACAAACTAGTCTCCTTGCACTGGCCGTATTTATAACTTTTCCATACAGGAGTTTCTTTTGTATCTTTTAAAAAAGGAGTATCTGAACTTGTTGTTTTATAGCTGGATGAAAATCTGTAGGCATTCCATCATTTCAAATTTCAATACATTTTACTTCCCCTTCTCCTCGGGGAACAGTGACAGGTGCAGGGAAAGTCTTTGTGGATTGGTGTTCTGTTATATGTACAGCGTCAGGGTGCTTCCAGAGGGATGCGCCTCTGTCCATAGAAAGGGTTCTCTGCAGCTGTTCTGACTTTGTGGAAAGAAAATGGAAGAGGGTGTGTGCATTCCCCACATCACCGTAACATTCTGTGGATGAAGCAGCTTGATTGCATAGTAAAAACCTAGCCCAGAGGGAGCTTCAGGAGATGGAATAAGAATGCAGCATCATTTGGGATGAGGAGGGCAAATTGCTCATCACTTTCTGCTGCACACTTGCAGTTACTGTTATCATCATCATCATCATCATCATCATCATCATCATCATCATCAACAGGCGTGTGTTCAAGGGAATGGACTTACCTGTCCGTCTCCCCAGTAAGGAATAAAGAAATGGGAGGAAGGAATTGGGGATTGCTGGCAGCAGGGAGAGAAGAGGTAGCAGAGGGAGAGGCACAAAGGCAGCTGCTGGTGCATCCTGTCTTGCTCCACCCACATGTGTGGATGGGAAATGGTGGAATAATAAAGAAGGAAATAACAAAACGTTGTGGAAGGTATATTGCAGATACACTGAAAAGAAATAACAGCATGCAGGCTGCATCTGCAAGCTCATAGACTGACAGCACCTTCCATAGTTGATGTGTTATTACATTATTTCCTTTGGCAAGGAACACAGCCTAGCTCACATGATTCGCTTCCTCTCCATTTTATCCTCACAATAGCCTTGTGAGAAGGGTTAGCCTGAATATTGGAGACTGGCACAAAGTCACCCAGTGAGTTTTCATGGCCAAGAGGGGACTACAACTCAGGTCTCTCGAGTCCCAGCCTGACGCTCTAACTACTGCACCACCTGTCTCTCAGACTGAGCCCCTTATGCTATTTTCCCTTCAAAATTGAAGTCATCTGAAGTGCGTGCTTTTAAAAATAGCACATACTTTTTAAAAAATAAAATAACATGTAATTTTACTTGCAAGCTGCCTCTTCTCTGTTTCTCAGTCCCTAAATCTGTTCCTGTTGTTCTATTTGCACACACTACTCTATCTTACATCATCCTAGTTGGGGACAGAGAGGGTAGGTGGGAAAGATTTGTCAGCAACGGAGATATGTGTCTCCCTCGCTGAGAAAGCACCCACCACCCATCTCGAGCAGCTGTCTTCCTAACCAGAAGAATGCATTGTCAGTAATGGTGGCCCATAACAGCATGAATACAGTAGAATAACTGGATTAAGAAAAGGATTAGTCCAGTGTATGGATCTTCAATACATACATACCAAGAGATAATTCAGAAAGGCAACTTTATTCTCAAAGTGCCTCCTATACTAAAGGAGCTCTGGAAAGGAAGGGGTTAATGGGGTGAGAGGGACTCATATAATGACTGACGAGTTCATCATTTTATCAAGTGGTGCTGAATGCTCAAAATCTAGTTGATGAGATGAACTGTTCTTTTTACTCAGGCTTGTCAATAATACCATTTTTGCAGGGTAGGTAAAATGGAAAAAGTTTCTTTTTCCTCATTCATGCTAAATCTGTGGTTTGCTAAGTTCTAGTTGGATGCACAGCCCATGCCTGACAAAGTACATGGACTGAAGATGATGAAATCCTACTGAATTCACTGAAGTTGGGTGACTTGATATCCTTCAGCTTCTCTGAATTACAGGATTCAGAGTTTCTCTGAATTTCAGAGTGGACCATCTGCCAGGTTTAGACCTGCACTTGTCTGCACAAGAAGGAAAATTCATGATCTGGCACAAGTTAAGCACCATTAAGTCCCATTAATTTCAGTGGGAGACATTTCCTCTGGTTGCTCACACACCCAGGGAAGTAAATAAAACTATACATGTGGAACTTTGGATGGATCGTGTCCAGAATGTTTATTGCAACTTGTACTGTTTTCTTTTTCCTCCTCAGCCTGTGCTAAAAGCATCAAGAAATATATTACCAAGAAGCTGGGAGAAGACTGGGTATTCCTGATCCTTCTGGGTCTTGTAATGGCCCTGGTCAGCTGGGGAGTGGATTATGCCAGTGCCAAGAGTCTGCAAGGTACATGGCCCACTCGCTGAAGCAAACAAACTGAAGACAAATGCAGTCAGAGTGTACTAGATGGTCTGTCCCGGGAAATGCAGACTGAGGTTGAAGCTGGAACTCTGACCTTGGCGCACCCTCCCTCCGCCCTCTCAGCCAGACTTGCTCTTTTCACGCTCGCTGGGGCTGCAAGGACACAAGACTGACCTTGGAGCTGGGTTTGGGGAGGAGGTCTGGGGGAAGGGAGGCAAAGCGTGCAGCTCCACTGGGATATGATGTATTCCTGCAGGGCTTCAGCCTGTCCTCACAAAGACTTTGCCAAAATTGGCAGCCTAAGCATTTTGTGGGGAAAGAGAAGTGCAAAGGCAGCCTGTCCCTAGGGCGATGCCCATAATCCTCCAAGTTTGGAAGGTTATGGGCATCCTGATAGGATTGTGCCTTACAGTGCAATCCTGTGCGTGTTTTGACCGAAAAAAATCCTAGTTCCCAGCACACAGCCTGGGGTGTGCTGGAAGTCGTAGAACATTTTCTGTCTGAACATGCATGGAATTGCACCCTTATTTGAGTCTACATTGCAGCAGGATCTACACTCCTGTACACAAATGCTGAGGAGCCGACAATTGAAATTCATAAGTAATTTAAGTAAAATTTCGTAAGTAAAATAGAAATATAAGAACAATTAAGGGCCAAAGGAAACGTGAATGATCTCCTGATTTTAACAAGTTAAACGGTGTAAGGCTGCCAGTTTCAGTGGCAGAATAGGAGCAAGAATAGCTTTTCTTTTACTCCTCCTGCTGTTTGTCATTTCAGAATTGCCTTCCCCAACATGCTTCTTCCTGCCATGGGAAGGACACAAGTGGCCTGCATCTTTTTCTGTGCAGGTGGGATTGCAGCTTTGTGTTTGGCAATTCTCAAGCACAGAAATATTAGGAAGGGAAAGATGGAGGCAGCTCCTTCTGCACCCCTTACTTCTAGCCCAGGGGTGCTTGTAGATGAGGCTTGTATTGCTTCATTGCTCTGCCTCATTCACAGGACTTTAAGGGGTTCTAGATGGTGTCTCCCCCTTGTAACTTCCCTGTACTTTGCTACCAATTCATTCATCTTTCTTTTTCTGACTGCAGAACATTGATGAAGCAAAGTTGGAGTAGTGGCACAATGCCTTTTGGCTGTCACTATTAGGACCCCTCCCATCTTAAATCCCAACTGAGCTCACCTACACAACATTACTCTTTTTTAAAAAATAAAGAGCCTGGGAGGCTGTTCATGCTTCTCCTTTGTATCATTTAGTTTGGCTTTGTCTGTTTAAGGTTGGTGAGCCTGGCTGTGTTTATCATCAGAGTTTGGCCTATGACTGTGCCTGCCAGAGTTAACTCCTAGGGTGGACACCCTCGTTCAGCCTGAAAGGCAAATTCCATTTCAGAGCAGCTTCTGGGGTTTCCATTCTAGCAGTGAGGCAGACCAAAGGCCAGAACTACCAGCACATTTCAGCTTGAAGCTCTTACTGCTGGTAACTAAGACTTGTGAGAGGCGTTCATTCATTCATTCATTCATTCATTCATTCATTCATTCATTCAAGATATTTGTATGCCATCCTTTGCAAGAGCCTCAGGATGGCTTATACAAATAAAATACCAATACATAATAGCATAACATAAATAAATTAACGACCCACTCTGGTTGCAATTAAAATATGGAAATAAAATTCAATATTAAAACTTGTTAAAATATTGATTAAATAAAAAGGTCTTAACCTTCCAGCATACAGTGCTCAGGAAACTCAAGTTTGGTGGCTAGAGGAAAGGGGGTGGAACCAGGACAGTAGGGAACTGACAGGGCGGGGGGATTTCAAAACTCGAGGAGTGCGGGAATTGGCTGCTGGGCCTGAGGTTCTGGTTTAGTCTGATGCTTACTAATCCCTTTCAAGTGCTACAGCGGCTAACGCATGTTGTTCTTCCCTCCACAGTTTACAAGTGGATGTACAAAGAGCTGCACCCAAGTATTCCTATGCAGTTCCTGGCCTGGGTCACCTACCCGCTCATCCTCATCCTTTTTGCTGCCCTCTTCTGCCAGCTTGTATCTCCGCAAGCCGTGGGTGAGAGAACAAGGGACGGGAAGAGTTCTCTGTCCGAGGCTTGAACTATACATCAGCCACTTGTTCAGGTCTAACAACAGCAGGCCCAGATCTAACCCAATCGCTTAGGAAGTGCCTTGCATTTTTAGAGTGAAAAAGGAGGCTCCGTTAAAAGGAGCTGGTTGCCTCATATTTCCCTGTACTTGCTGGTACCGGGGTCTGCTCGTGACATTTGGAGAAGGCAGGGATTTTAGCTGCAGGGAGACGGAGCCATTTAATGCACCCACAGACACATGCACATAGTGGCCGTGTTCACATGAAGCCAGAACAAAAACCAGCCACAGTAGTTTCTTTGGGCAAGTGGCACACCATGTGAGTTGCCCAATGAGCCTTGTGGTATGTGTCTTCTCCAAACCCAAAGACAGTGAGGTGTGTAGCAGGGGGCAGCCTTGGAACTGCCCGGAACCCTACAAGATGCCCTACAAGATGCCAAGCCGTCCCCTCTGTGCACCTCACCAGCTTTGGACACAGGAAGCCACATGGCTGCTCAAGGTCTCCAGTCCTTCACTTTCTCTCTGAGTTTCAGCCATCCTGTGTTGATTGAGCTTCCGTCTCTGTGCGTGAGTTTTGCTTCCCTGTCTCTGAGGTTCCCCTCTTCATTGTTACTTTTATGTTTTGTTCAGGCTCTGGGATTCCTGAGCTGAAGACTATTATGCGGGGAGTTGTCCTCAAGGAGTACCTGACACCTAAAGCTTTTCTGGCCAAAGTTGTGAGCCTGACAGCTGGCCTGGGAAGTGGGATACCTGTTGGGAAAGAGGTAAGCTCAGCTTTGGGTATAGAAGTGAGAGGAGAAGGCAGCAAATGAAAGGAGGCGGAAACTCTGTGAATTGTAGTATGAGAGGAAGGTCACACGGGATAAAAAACCAGCCATTCTAATAAGTAGGGCTGATTGAGAACAGGCTATATTGCTGCAACCAATGCGAACAGAAGCTTGGGCACTCCCTGCCATGAGTAGGCCAGGAGAACCCACATATCTCATGGTGGTTCATGCTGGGGAGGCAGATATGGCCACTGATGGACCCGGAGAGCTATGAAGGGAGGAGCAGTCCTGAGGCAAAGAGGGCTGTGAGGGAGGAAAAAGTAGGCCGCAGACCAGAGCTGTATCTAATGCAGAGCTGCACAGACCAAAACAAGCAGCCAGTTACTGGGCTGCAGGCCTCTCCCTGGTGCCCTGGAGTGTGAGCATGAGTAGACATGCCTCTCTTCTTCTTCTCGCTAATTAAGAATATATATTTTGGGTCTTCCCTCCTGTGCCTGGAACTCCTAAAGGAAGTTTTCAAATATGTGACTCCTGAATGGCACAGCAGAGTTCAGTAATGAGGAAGAGATCCTTTCAAGACAGTGAACGATGGGAGTGGGGAAAGAGAGGCAAGCAGATTGGTGGGGTAGTTGGAAGCATGTAATGTGATGCTGCTTCTCCCGCCTTTGCCCATCCATGTTTGTTTGTTTGTTTCGTCCTTTTCTCGCAGGGGCCCTTTGTGCACATCGCCAGCATCTGCGCTGCCGTCCTCAGCAAATTCATGTCCATCTTTTGTGGTGTATATGAGGTAAGTGTTCTGCATGCTTCATCTGGTTTGGGAGAGAGATTGCTCTGGGGAAAGGAGCAGTTCAGAGTGTTGGTGATGGGAGTTTGATTAGAGTTAATAAAAATCTGTAAGTTAGATGACAGACAGGTAGACAGTATGGGAAATGACAGCAAGTGGCAGGATAGCTACCTGTAAAGTCAAAGAAGCAGCAGGCAAAATATGGAGGGTCCCCTCAAGAACAATCAATCAAAAAGCTTTGGAATGTCAAGGAAGCAAATTACATTGCATGTTTCATTGCGGTCACAATCATCAGTTTGAGCCCGTGGTTTTTTTTTTTTTTTAAGGCCTGACTTAAAATTGGGAGCAGCTTCTGTGTAAGCAAACAGGAGCTTCTGAGTTGCTGAAAAAGGCTATTGGGAATTCTGGTGAAGGATTAAAAATTTAAGAGGTTTGAACCGTGCTTCTGGCAGCCAGGGATGGGACTTTAATCTCTTGCTCTGGTTCCTGTCTCTCAGCCATGGCTGCACCGGTCCTGCAGAACACGGAACTTTGGCTTGCCCAGATCTCACTCAGTTCTCTGTCACCTCATTCTTTGGGAAAATATATTTCCACATAGCTGCAGATCTGCATCTTGGAAGTAAAATTATGTGAAATGTATGCCAGGTGACCTACATCTGCATCATTTATTCCTGTTGCAGATTTTTTCTTCTCTCTGGAAGTAGGCTTTTACTTGGGGCACACAAAGTCTTAACTGTAGTCGCTAACCTTATATGAAGTCTAGTTGAGCAGCTGTAAATAAGCATGAGCAATTTCATCAAGACTTCTGGATTGACAGCAGGTATCAAGAGGCAGCAGGGGGCTTTATAAAAAGAAAGCCAACAGGTGACTGTTGCTCACAGTAAAAACCAGCAGGTGTAAGCAGGCGTGTCTTGTGGCTGGCTGTGGCTGTGGAAGCTCACTGCTTCTAACCCTGGCTGTAAACAAACAAGAGGCTGTGTAACAGTGGCTGGCTTTGTAACTGGCTGTACAACACCGTTCCAGTAGCCAGGAACAAATGGCTGGAGAGCTGGCTTTCTAAGGCATCTGATACCTCTGAATCATCAGTAAATCAATGAAATAAAGCCAATGCCAGGCTAGAATGGAGACTGGCACATAGTTCTAGAGCTAGGGGATGCCAGCTGTGTCCTCTGAGTGACTGAAGCTCTTTATCATGGTTGTTCATGGCACCAAAGGCCAGGGCCGTCTTAACAGCATTATGGGCCCCGGATAAAGCTGCATACTAGGGCCCCTACGACAACTGCAACTACTGTTAATTTTGGAAGTTTTCCAATTTTCCAAGGGTTAACAGATTAGTATGGGGCCCACGGGCAGGTGCCCATCAGGCCTATGTGTTAAGACGGCCCTGCCAAAGGCAAGTAGGCGGTTCTCCTGATCAAAGCAAGCCACAATGACTTGTTGCGAGTGCAGCCCCCAATGACGTTGGGGGCTGGACACAATTTGCGTGCACACTGCCCAGCTGTGGCTTATCGCATTTGAACCTGGGCTCGTTGGAGGGTGAAACAAAGCCTCAACAACCCTACAACATTCTGCACGTTATTGATTAAGCCATGGTGGCTTGTTCCGATCATGTGAACTGAGTCACTGGCTGTGCTCTGAGGGACAGCTGGTTTTGCTGCTGACTGTTGCTTTGCTTGGGAGGAGGGGACTAATCTCATGGCTGTGCAGCCTCTGCGCACCCTCTAACCTTGGCATGCCTCTCTTTGGCTGGGCTTTCTATTCCAGAATGCGCACAGGCAACTTGACTTCCTGGTGGCGGCTTGCGCAGTTGGAGTTGGATGTTGCTTCGGGGCTCCTCTTGGAGGCAAGTGCATTCTCGTATTTGTACAAGATGTTTACCCTCCAGGCTGAGGAAATTTCTGGGATGAAAGTCATGTGTTCTGTGCAACCGGCACCACAGTGCACTTCTCTTATCACATATCACCTGACAGGGAGAGAGGAAAGAGGCTATAAGATATGCTGTGGATAACAGGAAGTAGGTGCGATGCAAGGAAGTGGCATCTCACAGACCAGCAGGAAATGACTTAAATCTCAAGCTCGTGTAATCTCATTCTGTTTTCCAGCAATGATCCGTATTTTCTGAGCCAGTGCTTGAAAAAAATAGTAGTTTCTGTTATTTCTCTCTTTTGGGGAAAAAGAGGTTGTTACTAGGCTGTGCTACCTTCCCCTTCACCCTCTTCTACTAGATGCCTGACCAAATGGTAATGGTTGCTGAATGTGTTTCATTGGCAGCAGATCATTCTTTTTTTCTTTTTTCAAAGAAAGGAAGCATATACTGTCTGTTTACTAACAGGTTCTGCTTGAGAACCCACAATAGTACAGGCTGTTTTAAAGTTTGCACAGGATTTAGCAGGCAGGAAGAATCTTTCAGCAACATACGATAGAGAGTGTGTGTGAGAGAGAGTGTGTGTGATGGGGGACTGTAAGTGTCGTGCACTGAGGTGGTGATCCATGCTATAAAAATAAGACTATCCAGGAGCATCCCTATTTTCAGGTGTGAAATTTTGGAGGGTAAGGATGCGGGCTGCCGTATCAGCTTAGCTGGGAAATTATACGGTGATGCTGTACTAGTCCATGAAAGGATACAGCTGAATCCATAAGAATAAATGATTTCTTTAATGTAGTCAAGAACAGAAAGTGTGGTTGTGATGGTGTTTCTCTTTGAAGCAGGGCCAATAAGGTGTCAGAGTCTTAAATTATGTGACAAAGCCCTGCCACCCTGCACAATTATTTCTTTCTTACACTGAAATAGCATTTTGGATGATCCGGAAATTTAGCAGAACTTCAGAATTTGACTTACATTTTTGAGCCTTTTCCTAACTAAATTGAGAAGAGCATTTATGGATTTTAGAGAAAGGTGTAACATATTAAATAAAAAGATTTAGAAGATTTAAGACTTTTCAATATTGTTGACCAATATTTTTAAATCTCTAATTCAACAGTATGTATAATTGGTGGTGTTGGACTAATGTATGTGCTGAGGATATACATTCAAGTACATTTCAGCAGGAAAGTGTGCCTAAGAGTCTCCTATTAGATATAATTAGATAATATGGTGTCCAGGCACAGGGTGAATGCATGCAAAGAGACTGTAGTGGCGAGCCCTGTCTCTTTAGCTACGCATGTTGAGTGCTGGTAGAAGAAGTTATTGGGACTTGCTGGCTTATTCCCACGTCCCCCTCTGTGTGTTGACTCTATGCATGAGAGTCACATGAACATATTGGCAGCGAAAGACAGACAGAAGTTGAATGATGGGTTGATTTGTGCAGAACTGGTGTGTTTGTGTGAGCAATGGGTTTCAACAAGGGTGTATTGTCACCACCCATGAACTCTCAAGGCAGGAGTGCTCTCATGTCAGTGGTCATCAGGCAAGAGGGTATCTTAAACTCGCATCCTAAATTATTTGTCATTTGTGCTTCCCTTTCTATTATAGTTAGACTTTTGGCAGTTTCCTTGCATAAAGTATGTTTACCTTCTAAGTTACTGTACCTGAGGTCTGATGGCTGCCTAGGTAAACTGGCAGATAAATCACAACCTGGTCAACATGGCCTGTAGTAGAAACATTTTCCTTTCCTTCGGAAGAGAAAAAAATATTCAAGGCAAGCAGAGAGTTCTTTTCAAAACTTTATTGCAACAAAGGGAGTGGAGAGGTTCCTTCCCCTGGCCAGCTCAACTCAGCACGTGTTCACATCAGGGTCCTGGGAGTTGACAATCTTTTCCGTCTGCCTATCCTGTGCCACCTATACCTGTTCTTCCCTCCCACTTCATCCCTCCCAGGTGAATTATCATGAGTTTATTTCCTATGCAGGGTGTGTTTGTTAATAGTCATGAGGTCTTCATTGAGCAAGTTTCCTGCTATCTTGTCTACCGACAAATCCTTCCTGTTATCTGATCGCAGCCCCCTCCCTCTTTGGCTAAGGAATTTTATGTGTTACTTTTTTTTTACTTTTCCTGTTTCCTTGTTTCAAACCATCCTTTCATCCCTATCACCCTGTGCCAAGCTTTCTCTTTTGAAAAGGAGACAACATCAGTGATGGGGCGGATTTCGGGTTCAGCGACCAGGAGGGGCTCTTCGGAGCTAGACTTGATTTGCCCCTTACGGCCAATTCCAAACCTAGCATGTTTTTCCTTGTTGAGGAATATAATGTATATTGGAAATCTTACTTTGGAATGAAAAATCCACTTAGATTTTGCAGGCGAGATCTATCAGCAGGATACTAAATTCCAAAGGGTGGAAATGTATGGGTTAATACAAAAGATCACATATGTTTTAGAACTGGTTGAAGAGCCAGATGGCACATTCAGAAATACTTCAGAAGAGCAAGCAGGGTGTTATGTTTAAATGTTTCCCTAGTCATACAAAGAGCCCTGCTCTATGCAGTCCAATAATCGGCTAACAAAGTGTGTATGGGAAGCCCTCAAGCCTCTCTAAACGTGGGAGAAAAATGTCTTCTTGCCTAGGGAAACCTAATGCTCTAGCCACCTTAGGCTGTAATCGTATAAACACTTTCCTGGGAGCAGCACTTCTGAGTAACACTTCTGAGTAATCAAAATGCATGGAATAAGATAGTGCTGTATATGTTTTTTTGTATGGGCAGCAATTTTTTTTCTACTGGTGGGAGTTTTCCAATATATAATCTCCCTTGTAGTTTCTAAAGCCGGTTCCTTCCATAATGGCAGGGTGCTGCTGAACAGGTAGTTTGTCTTTCATCTCTCCAGTTTTCCATGTCCAAACATGGGCAAAACAGGAAAAGCATTGCACACCTACCGTGCCACTGTATATCAAGTGTCTAATGGCGGCTTTGATCACAACAAAACTCTCTGCTTGGGTGTCGATTTCCTGGAGGAAAGTGTGAAGGTTCTGCATGCAGAATCTCATATGTGGTAATCCTGTACATGTGCAGAGTGCCATACTGGGGAGATACTGCTAATTGTGACTTCGTAGTACATGTGCATACAGCAATTTACCTATGTATTGAATTTCCACACATGAAAGTCTACATGAAAAAATTATGCAGTTTTCCTACACCTCTAAACTGGAATTTTACAAGCGATTTTCTCTAGCATATCCTACGCCATACTTCTTAACCACCAACTAATGACACTGAATACTTTCTTAACTTTTGAAAACAGTGGAAATCTGAGCGAATTCTGCAACTGCAAGAGCTGAGGACTCATCCGTGGGCCTGGTCTCTTGCATGAGTCCATTTGGGAATTACTCCACCTTCTGTTTGTGCACTGGAGCTCATGAGTCAAAGCGACAAGACCCGCTGGCATGTTCAGCATCTAGAAATGGGCGCAAGATGTGCTGCTAGATAGCATCTGTTGACTATCCTAAGAGGCTGCCTTCCAATTCTGTCACTCACTCCTCCTTTTCTTCCCTCTCTCTGTGTCTCATCTGTGTGTCCCTCCCTCCCTCCCTCCCTCTCTGTCTGTCTGTCTCTCTCTCTCTCTCTCTCATGTCTCTTCCACCAGTAGCAGCCATATTATTACACAGACGTCCTGACTGTGGGATGTGCAGTGGGTGTTGGCTGCTGTTTCGGGACACCTCTTGGAGGCAAGTGGCTGCAGGTTATCACATCCTTCCTCTGTCCACCATGCCCTATCCCCCTTTAAGCCCCCTTTGCCCTCCACTCTTTCTAAAATAATCTGCTTCATTCTGGCCAGCACACCTCCCATCTTAGCAAGGTAGAGGCTGTTTCCCCGAGGCTTCTTCTAATGACTCTCCAGGAGCATTTCAACTTGGAACTGCACAGACAGGGCCAGTCTGAGGCTCTGAGATACACCCTGTTGCTCTGGGGAAGCAACTTCTGCTCCACCAAAGCGCTGATCATCAAACTTCATTCTGGGGAAACGTTAAGCTGCTTGGAGGCTTATTCGGGGCTCACCAGTAAGAAATCAGTGAGTTGCTGCAGTAGAGTGAGGGATGTTCTTTGGTGTTCCCTCAATTCATGCTGGGCAACAGTGTGGTGCAGTGGGCCTGTCCAGAGCTTCTTGGGAACTTAATTGCAGTGTATAACTCGATGTGCACAGGTTCCTCAACAGAAAGTGTCCCTTTAAGGCAGAACTTCTGGAAGCTACTGGAAGTGTGAACTGGGGCCTTTTAATTTTGCTTTGTTCAACCCTAACCTGAAGGAAACCTTTCTTCTGAAGGTCAAACTAGATGTTCCCTTTTTAGGCCCGCTATTCCTTTTGTACTCCCTTTAACCACATGCTGTGGGAATGACAGCTGAATGGGGTGAAGGGTGGACTTGTGCATGTGTGAGTGGCCCTGTATTGATGTGAGTGTCTTTCTTTCCTTAGGGGTGCTCTTCAGTATTGAAGTCACTTCCACCTATTTTGCTGTTCGTAACTATTGGCGTGGATTCTTTGCAGCCACATTCAGTGCCTTTGTTTTCCGGGTCTTTGCTGTCTGGAACAAAGATGCAGGTGAGGGGAAACACAATGGATTTGCCATTTCCTGCTCTGACTGTAGCATACCAGCAAGGGATGGTGTAGGAGTGTCTGATGAATGCATTCTTCTTCTGTGAGCCATGTGCTCCCTGTTCCAGTATAATTTCACTTCATTTTCTGTTTATTTACATTTCTGTACTGCCCGATGCCCCAAACTCTCTCTGGACAGCTTGCAAAGATGGATTATAATCTTTACCAAGCATTAGTAGGTCAGCCTTGGTGTTTTCATGCAGAAACCTTAAGAATGGCAGAGGTGGTGGGAGAGCACTGATCTGCTCTCCAAGCAAAGATATGGGGGGGTGGGGTGTTTGGTCTGGAACAAGCAGACCCAAGCAAATGAAAATGGCGTATCTAGATTCACTCCAATTGCATCTGGAGTGGAGGTGGTGTCTTCTGCATGCAGATTTTTACAGCCAACTTCTAAGTACTTGTGGAGAAAAGAAAGGCACACCTGCACACCAGAGAACCCAGCACCAAGGACACGACTCAGGTTACTTTACGGCAGACCTGGGCATTGTAGGCCCAATGGCTGACCCTGACTGGCCCTCATGAAGTCACTATGTTTAGCGCTGGGAGATTTCATGTGTTGTAAATTTGCGCTAAATAAGTAAAATTGAATTGAATTTATTGCTTTTCATGTAATGTTAATGTTTTTGTGAATATTCATTAAATAGTGTTGTTCTGTGCTCCACATTTTCATTGTATCATTGTAATGTTTCATTTACTGTTTTTATGGAGATATATATTGAGCAGAGCTGTAAGTGTATTGGTCCGGCCCTTAACAACTGTCAAAGTTTCTCATGTGGCCCCATAGGAAAATTAATTGCCCACCCCTGCTTGCCCTCCTGACGTCAAGGAACAAATTTCCAGAGATGTTGAAGCACTGCTTTAACCTTCCTCCTGCAAAAACACCCACAAACACCTGACATTGGATACAAAGGGGGTCATTTTTGACCCCAGGCAGCAGTGCCTCAAGCAAGGCAAATGCTGCATAAGGAAGGCTCCCCCCAACCCTGATCATTTCCCCCAGGAGGTTTCAGTCAGCATAAGACTAGCCTGCAGCTTTCAGCAGGTATAGGTAATTTGAGATTTAATATTTCCTGCAGCAATGCATAAAAGTAACACCTGCATAACAATACTTGATTTATTTACCTTTTTGCTCTGCTTTACATTAGTTTGACCTACAAACTTTAAACTGGCATAAAAAAGCTTTTTGTCAGTGCTGGAAGTTTTAGCTTAGACTCTTTGTTTTCAAAAGAAACAAAGAAGATCTGTAGTTAACCTAATTTGATGCCTTGGTTTGGATCATAAAAGTACCCCAGAAAACTATTATCCTGCAAATTTGGAGACATATTGTTACATCAGGCATGTTTTGTTTTGTTTTATAGAAAGAAAACTGGAAGAGGCAGGAGGCTGAGATTTGGGGACATTTTTTACTAGACAGATTTTGACAAAATCTGGAAGGACTAGACCATAAGTCTACTTGCATGTAAATTACACAACAAAAGCGAGCCAAGGGAAGACCAGTTACCCCAACCCACAGGATTAGCTAAATTATACTGTTACTCTCTTCTCAATTGCTGCACCCGCCTTCAGTCTTCTCAAAGTTCTAGGAGGGCAAGGCAGTTTTTCTGATTGCTTTGAAAATGAAGCATACAGTGCAGGGCTTTTGCATTGGACACTTCTGGGCAATATGAAAATTCAAACAAAAGCAACTATGAAACAGCAAGGGACTTTTGAAAGGGTGAGCCCTTTCTTATTAAAAGAAAATTGACCACAGAATCCAAAATCCACAGATGCACCATGTTAATACCACACGGTGTTGCTTGTGCATTTAGGATGCCTGTTCACTCCTGTGTCAGGCAGAAGCGCTTCCTGATGACAGCAACAGCAAATCCTTTCTTAATGAAGTGTTCTTAGGCGGGAAGCACTTCTCTCCTGTCCACAAACAAATGCAAACATCATTAATGCTGCCAGGCCTCTCAGGGGAGGTGCTCTGAGAACCCAGGCAGTGCCAGAGAGAATGCCAGAATGTGGTCTATACTAGCTCTTGGTGTTTTGCATTGAGATCTCATTTTGATATGCTTTCCGTTGCTCCTGGGCTCCTGTTCCCTGCTGTGCACATGTCAATTTCTCTCACATTCGCTTTCTTCCTCCTAGTAATTCTCCCTGTCTTTTTCCCTACTCCTAGTTACCATCACAGCCCTGTTCAGAACAAACTTCCGCATGGATTTTCCCTTTGACTTGCAGGAGCTGCCGGCTTTTGCTGTAATAGGGTAAGCCCAAAGGGATGTTGCTAATTGAAATGCAAGAATGAAAAAGGGCAATTCGTGGTAAAAATTTGCCTTCTAAAACAGAGTAAGCTGTCTGCTAAGAATCCTCTGAGGATCCAAGTTAGACTTGACACAATTCGACCACCATCTTAATGCTCCCAGCTGTCTTATAATGACACCATTCAGAACAGAAGCATAGCACTGCCTCTGTCATGAAAGACTGTGCCTACAGGTTGCTCCAGGGCAACCTGATGCAAAGGAGGACAGTGGGGCTCTTGTGCATAGAGGGGGGAAGTTTCACAGAGGAGGCAATTTTCACAGATGCAGCTTGTCCTGCAGGGTTGAAGAAAGTGGTACCTGCCAAAATTCCTTCTGGTTCATTTGGCAGGCACAGGGCGTCTGCTGTCCTCCTCAGCATCTGGTCACCCTAACCTGAATGAGCGGCACCCACTCTGTCCAGATTAGAGGCTCCCATTGGCCTGGAGTGAGCCTGTAGTGTCCCTTAGGAATGGTTACAGCATACCAGCTGCAAATTTTGTTAGCACCTTCTTGAGCTGGAAATGATGCCTCCCCACCGTCTGTACCCTTTTTCACATGCCTTTAAAAAAAAAAAATTCTCCTGGACTTCTCCTCCTCCCTCTCTTGTTCTCTCAACTGGAAGCTTCCTGAGTGAAGACTGCAACGGTACGGCATAGTGGTTAAAGTGCTGGACTGGGTCTTGGGAGAGCCAGATGCTCATTCCCACCTGGCTACTGGGTGATTTGGGGGCAGTCACTCACTCTCAGCCTAACCTTCTCACAGCATAGTTCTTGTGAGGATAAAATGGATAGGATGAGAAATTTGTAAGCTGCCTTGAAGCCCTCACAAGAGGAAAAAGGTCAGGATATAAATGCAATGTGATAACAGTCATGAAGTAGGCCCAGATAATGATGTTGGCCCAGTTGTAACCTTGCTTATATTGTGTTCTCCTGCCATTCTTGGGGGAATCCTTGATTTTTGCCTTGCTCACTTTCAGTAGCAAATTCTGCCCGTGTTTCATAACCTCCGGTTGTTAAATTATGTTCCCAGGATAGCTTTTTGTTAGCAGCAACCACATTTCAACTGCCTTCCTGATGGAAATGCCAGGTACCATGTATTAAGGGGTGTTTCACAAAGTATGGAAAGTACTTATAATGGACAAAATACTTATGCAACTTTGTGCCACTTTGCACCATAATTTCAAGGATGATTAATTGGAAAATGGCTCCCATTTTTAGAATACATTGCCTTCAAAAGGGTGAGGCATAAAAAAACTAAAAATCCTACTGATTGTGATTTTTTAAAATATATTTTGTGTTATACTTTGAATGCATGTTGTGTGTTATACTCAGTCTCTGGTCATTCTGAAAAGAAAGTAAGTTCTGAAACAAGAAGTTAATGCAATGTTGTTTAATACTGTTATTTTTAACTGAAAAATCTTCAAAAACAGCTGTTAAAAGAACAAAAGGCAAACAATTAGACAAAAAATAAAAGTCTCTTTGGAATGTGGGTGTGAGGAGCAATTCAGCCATCTAGGAGAAAAGAATGGAACAGTCTCTGGAAGGAACAAACAATTTATTTATTATTTATTTATTAAAGCATTTTTATGCCGCCCCATTCGCCGAAGCCTCGGGGCGGCTTAGAACAATAAGTTAAACGATGACATGTTGAGGAACATGCACTGCCCTGGACGACTGAGAGTGCCTCCCAATTATATGAGTAGCTGATAAAATGCTCCACACCATTTGGCAGGGCAATACAGAGGGCTGCCTTACCAAGTGCTTGCATGCAAGCTGTGTTGAATTACCACTTGGTATGTACATAGTAGCCTCTAGTCACACTTCAGAATCAGGATGGAACAACTCTGAACTTTTGATAAGTTTAGCATCAATAGGAACACATACATTTGTGCTACAGAATCACATTCAAGCCTTATTTTTGGTATCTTATTTAGTGTCTGGATTTGTGATACCTTCATGTCTTGGAAAAGCCTGCATGGAAGCATGCATTCATTAGGTACTGTCTGACTTAGAACTGCGATATTATCTATATCTTGTGCTTTCCAGAATGAAGAATTCAGCTTTGTAAAAAATGCAATTCATACTTTAGGAAACTCAAGTTCACAAGTCATGCTCACCCATCTTGCAAATAACCTGCAGAACAACCCTCAGCACCCCTGACAATCAGTATCACTATGGGTTGTCTTCCACTCCTTCCCTCTTAATCCTCCAGCTGGGACCCCCAGGAACTTGATGACTAAAGCTCACTTGTCTCTGCTCCCTGTCACAGTCAGATGCCAATTTTCACTCATTGCAGCTTCCCTGCCTCCCCCCCCCCCTTGTGAATCGCTTTGCATGATCTCAGAATTAACACCCAGTGGCCTAAGCAGCATATGGGAAAGACCGTCAATGTTTCTCCACCCATTTTTGATGGGGGGTATATGTATATGCTCCTGTCAAACCCTGCTCCCCTCCCCCCCACCGCCATTAGTTCCATCACAAAACCTAGGTTAAAAGGAAATCTGAGCTTTGAGAGCTGTCAGACTTTGTGCTCCCATTCATGGGGTGGCTCACAGTTTTTCCACCTTTCCAAGCACCTAGACTCTCAGGAACGGGAGAAAAAGTTTGAGGATGCTGAGCAGAGTCAGGTCCATCCAAAAAAGAAGAGGATGCTACTCGCTTTCCTGAGCGAAGATCACCCACGCCTTTCTTTCACTTGACAGCTTTCCTTACTATTTGCAGTCTGTGGTTCATGCCTGCTATACGTTGACACCTCCCGTTATTGCTCCAGTAAAGGCTTCCCATTTTAGAATTCCTCAAGGACATGCCTCCATACTTGCACACAGATGGATGAAAGTATTTCTGCAGATTTCCTGTGCTCAAAAATAATTTTAAGGAAGGGGTAGCAAAATGCTGCTTGAGCACTCGGAGCGTGTCACTGGCTTTCAGATTGGGGATCATGAAGGGTGATCTCCAAAATGGGTGGGGGCAGGGAGCAGTGAGGTGAGTGCAAAGGGGCTTGGGATCGGCATGGTGGACACTGAACCGGAAAGGGTCCCTCCATCATGCTGTTTGGGCCTTTGCGGGGTGGCTGGCACTGATGGTGTCCCAGGCAAAAGCAGTTGGGGGTTTGCTGCTTTGACAGAGCAGATCACTTGCCATGTCCTGCAACCCACAGTGAGGTCAGTCACCTGGGTCTGGATGACATGACAACCCCGGAACAAAGCTATGAGTCGTCAGGGTGGCTTTTTCCCTTCGGATAAGCCATCTTGCGGGGAGCGGTCTGGATTCGCACAACACAAACACCCACCGTGGCTTGTCAGTAATGTTGGGCTGCCACGTTATTCAAACCATCACAGAGCTTGTTTCCTTTGACTGTTTTGTCAAACAGTGTTCAAGCCTGTTATGATGTAATGCTCCTCAAATCAATGACTAAAATGGGTGGAATGAGCCACTTGAGCAGAGACAGCAGGAAAGAGATCTAGAGGGCTTAAAAATATTGAAAGGCAAATAACAAAGATCCCCTAGGAAGTTCCTTGTAAGATTATGTTCCTGGACTTTGCTTAGAAAATCTCATTCTGCTGCCTGTGGAGACCAAACTTAGGTTGTATCTTTTTGGTGGCTCATAACTTTTCTTGATATACTGCTGAAGTTACAGTATAAAATTTCTGCTTTTGTGGCATAGCCCTGCTTGGGGTTACCCGGAAAGATCATGCTGCACAGTCTGGGAAGCAGAATGCTGGATTATATATAGGCTTTAGATCTGATACAAGAAGGCACTTCAACTGTAAATCCAATAAATTTAAAGCTTGGTAATGTCCAGGGTTAATCCTGTTCTTAAATTTCCTCCACCATAGGATCTGCTCTGGCTTCCTCGGAGCATTTTTTGTTTATTTCAATCGGCAGGTGGTTTTGTGTGTGCGTCGACATACGGCCCTAAGTCAATTCCTAACCAAATAGTAAGTATGATTTTACTTGTCTTGAGCCCACTTTGCAGTGCCCACATAGTATTGATGATCCTAACTCTAAATCCTGGCAGAAGGAAAGGAACAATAACCTCTACATAGAACTTGAGTTGCATTGTTCCAGATTTATTTTATTTATTTATTTATTTTATTTATATCCTGCCTTTTTCCTACAAAGGGCTCAAGGCAGCTTACATCATTCTCCTCCTCCATCTTATCCCCACAACAACAACCCTGTGAGGTAGGTTGGGCTGAGAGTCTGTGACTGGCCCCAAGTCACCCAGTTGGCTCCATGGCTGAGCGGGGACTGGAACCCGGATCGTCTGAGTCCCAGTCCCATGCTCTTAACCACTATGCCACACTGGCTCTCTATATAAAACAAAGTGGCCAAGTTCCTTTTTTACAAGTTGCGGGAATGAAGAACCTTTGCCTGAAAGAAGATCTCCATTGTAATGCAGATTTTAATAGCTAGGAAGACTACGACAGGAAACATTTAGAATGTAAATAATACAAGTTTCATGAGATCCAGGTGACATTTAGAATTCTTTTTTTTTTTTTTAGGGAAGAGACAACTCGGTATTAATATTTTCACACCCTAGTCAGTGGTTTCTTCACCCAGTTTCACTTATATCATTACTTTCAGTGCAATATAGCAGTCAGTATGGTATAGTGCTTCAAGTGTTGGACTGGAAATCCAGATTCCAGTCCCCACAAGTCCATGAAGCTCACTGGGTGACGTGGGGTCAGTCATTCACTCTTGGCCCAACCTACCTCACAAGGCTGTTGGGAGGACAAAAATGGAGTGGTGGCTATGTAAGCTGCCTTTGATTCTTCATGGGAGGAAAAAGGCAGGATATAATTGCCATGTATTAATAAAACTGGCATAAATTGAACCAAAACCAATGCCTCATGAATGTATGAACTGATTCCACTGAAAAGCTTTCATTTGAGAGTGTATGGAAGTTCTGTCTTGGCCTTTGATCTCTGATGGCTCATTCACAAATGCAAGACCCTGCTTGATATTGTAGTCCCCAAGAGAAGAACACGGATTCATGGACCTGAGGGGAATTGTGGGCCATAACTTAGTGGTGGAGCATGTGTTTTGCATGCCAGTGTTCCATTTCGGTCCTCGATGCTTTCAGTTAAATGAAGCAGAGCGAGGAAAGAACTTGGCTCCAAGGGCACACAGCATCACTTTCAGGCAACTTCACAACAGCTGCACTAAATTGGTCAACAATCTGATTGGGCTGCTTCTTATGTTCAAGACCTTTAGCATCGATTATCATGCCTTTAAAAAGAGAATTGGATGGATTCATGGATGCAATTCATGTCCAGAGGCAGGTAATGTTGAGTCCAAGATTCTGGGGGAGGAGGTCAAACAACAGAGAGTGGCCATCTGCTTCATATCTGCTGATAAACTTCCCAAGCTTGCTCCAGTGGGAAACAGAACAACACCGTCCTCGGATCCACCAGGGCAATGCTTTGGATCAGCCCACTGTTTCTGAAATGTCTATGTGTGCTCACCCTGCCCCTATCTAGGAGGTACCCTTTTCACTGCATCCTTCTCACTTCCCATAGATAGTAACAGCCCAGTAGAAAGTACACATTTTCAGGACCCTGTAACAGATGGAATTCAGTCCCATCAGGGTTCCTTGGTTTTGTGCAGAGTCTGTGCAAGCAGAAGGGCTGAGCAAGACACTTTTCAGGTCACACCACACACAGCGTCCTTTCTCAGCATTTTGCAGTGTTTAGCCACGAATTCCACTTGATTGAAAGAAATCCATACATGCTGCTCTCCTTTGATGTGAAAAGCACAAGCTGTGTATCTGCAAGCAGAGTCTTTTATACGGCATGGACTTCTCCCTCCTTCAACCATATATTTCCTCCCTGACTTGTGTAAAAATACCATAACAGGACAGAGCACAAGTAAGTTCTGCTATTCCTTTTGTAATGCATCTCTCTACAAAACATTGAAATGTGGGCTCCCTCATATAAATTAGGTGCTACCTGAGAATTTAACACACAGAGATGTCTGCAAGGACTCAATTTACAGCTTACTTAAAATGTGATACTCTGCTTGAGTTCCTTGCAGAAATTGCCCACCAAAAACAAGCCCACTCAGAAGAGAACATACGCCTCTCCTACCCTCGAGATTCCATGCTTGCTGAGGAAGATCCTTCCTGCCTCAGCTGGTCATCCATCTAGACCACCCCACCACCACCACAGTTCCTCTTGAGATACCACCGTGCAGTTGACATCACAGTCCACTTAATGTTTGCTCTTTTCTATTTTAGTCGTCTTATATATCCAGCAGTAATAACGTTTGTGATAGCATCTGTGACTTTCCCACCAGGCTTTGGACAATTTATGGCTGGTGAGGTGAGAATGTCGTTTGTTTATTTAAAACATATTTGTGCCACTCTTCCTCAAAAGGGAATATGAATTTAAGTAATACAATATTTTAAAGCCTTCCACAATGCAATGAAACTAACGGCTTGCAATTGTAATAATAAAAGGGGGGAATCAAATAAATGCCTAACACTGGCTTTCAAGAAAATACAATTTGTGCAGTGTAAGTCAGTTTGCACCTTCCAAATCTCAAAGGTTTGATGCAGAAAAAAAAATCATCTCTGTCACTCCACTGGAGAATAAGCATCTGCTTTTTCTTGCTGTTTCATCCTCATGTTGAGAAAAGAAAAAAAAAGTGACAATTTTTCCTTCACATTAGGTAAAGGGAGATGGAAGATTCTGCCTTTCTAGATAGCACGTTGGCCTTCTGTTTCTGCACTGGCAAACATATTGGTTTCAAAAACAGGGTAACTATTCTCAATGCCTCCTTCACACATCCTCGAAGAAACAGTAGGAGTAACCTACAGCTAGAAGTTTCTGAAAATTATTACAATCCAAATATGAGCCCCATGAAGGTTGAAGTATATCCAGCTTGAGTTAAAGTACCCTACTTTGCTTGCAATGAGCTTGCAAAATTTGTTTTTGCTAATTACAAACGTTTTGGTTTCCACTGTTCCCTTGTTCATGGAAGAATATTGTTTTTCCCCAGAGAAGCACTAAGGATAATCTTGTCTATGTAACCTGCATTAAGCTTTTATGTGTATTTGTCCTTTTGTATTATTATGGCTGCTAGCTGTTATTTTTATTGAATTGAGCTAGGTTCTTAATTAATTTATTAAGGATATTTATAATCACCTACATGATGAAGCTGGTACAGAAATGAGAGCTATTGAACAGAACACAGATCATGTTTCAGACAGGATAAAAATAACCTCCATAATTCTCAGCCAAGCATAATTGGGATTTTGTGTATACCGTGAATCTTGCTGTGTCATATTGGGCACAAAACCCAGGTTCCTAAGGCCCTCAGGTTGTCTGTCTGTCTCAGAAGCCACTTCCTAGCCTTCAGTCTTGAGAGTGTGTAGGCAATGCCTCATGGAATCTGCAAAGTGAGAGTGTGTAAGATAAGAGTAGCTATGCACATTTGCATACTTTTTATAGACCACAAAAAATTCAGCTCTTGCTGGATTTGATTTACCTTGGCACAAAGCATTCTTTGCTTGTTTTCAAAGGGAATGTTCTTCTATTTGTGCCGAAGAACTCCCTCATTGCCTTGTCTCCTTGCAGTTGATGCCCAGAGAAGCTATCAGCAGCCTCTTTGATAACTTCACCTGGGTAAAGCACACTGAGGACCCCCAGATCCTGGGGAAATCTGCTGTTTGGATCCATCCCAACGTCAGTGTGTTTGTCATCATCCTTCTTTTCTTCCTCATGAAGGTAGGCAGATGGTGCTGAGTGGATACTCTTTTCCATAATAGGATTTACCTTCCTTTAGTAGGAGCAGTAAGGTGTGGAGTCTTCCAGTGAGAGGGAAGTACCAGATCACTTCTAAGGGCACTTACTGGATTTTCATCACTGAAACTAGGAATGCATTTGTGGTCCAGGTCACCTGAAGTGGTTTCATGGAACGCACTGACTCCAATCACAATATTCAGATCAGTTTATTTCATCACCAGACGAAAATGGATTCAATGAAGAACATTTTCTTTTTTTTTTGAGACTGTGATTTGTGTACATTTGTTTGTGTTGAAATGGAACTGCAATGTTGGTCTGTCCAACTGAGATTACCTTAAATCACATTGAGTCTTCTCTTTGTTATTATCCCTTAAATTAGCAACTTCCTCCTTGCCCATTGATTTTACAATGGGTAACCAGTTTTCCTTGTTCATTCACAACCATGTCATTCCTGAATTTCCATTTAATTAGCTTAGATTTTGTTCCTGCTTGTCTGGAGAGGGATTTTATTACTTATTTCCTGTTTGCAGCTAGCACTTTAATTTTATGATTGCAATTTAAAAATAAAGTGGGAAGCTGCTAGTTAAAAGGAATAATTTCAGAGAAGAATGAGATCTTGGCTGAATAGAAATTGCTCCTAAGTATAAATGGAAGGAACTTGCTTTTGGGAATAGATATAGCTGAATTTATGTTAAGCGCTGTGTGGAACTGTCATTTCAATTCTGATTTTAGATTATTGTGGAAAAACAATGTCCAAGGAGCATTAAAGGTGTGGAAATAACCTACACTTAGTGCTTCCTTCTGAACCTTCCTGTGGTCAATTGCACAGTCAGAGTTGGGGAAGAAGGTAGGCTAGCTAATTTGGGGGATATATGGCTCACAAGTGGTCATGTCCCTCCGCTTAAGGTGATTTATTCCAGTAACATTACAATACCACATTCATTTGTTGAGTGAATGAGAATGGGGTGGTAGGAGAATCACTGAGAAGGATAGCAATGGCTCCAGGGTCACATGGTATCCTCATAAAATCCAAGCTGCTCCCTCAGAACACCACATGGCGCACTCCAGCACTTGGTGGCTCAGTACAAGTGGCACAGTTTTTTGTGCCTTCCTAATTACCCTGCTCCTCTACACATATGAATGTCCTTCCTGTGCTTTTTTAAAAGAACTTGCTGCTTCTGCAAGAACCTGGCCAGAGAGAAGAAAGTGTGTGTTTTCAGGCCTGTGTGTACATAGCAAAGGGAGCCAAGCTAAGAAATAGGAAAATGGCAGTCAATTGGGGAACCTTGGAGCCCATTCCAGGCCGAGTGAGAGGCCAGCCCCTGCTATAACCTGGATGTGTCAGGCTCCCCTCGGAACATTCCGGAGTGCCAAGCTCAGGAGCTGTGAGCCAAGCCAGTGCCACACAGTAACAACTGCTGTCTGTCACTTCTGTCTTAGTTCTGGATGTCTGTTGTCGCTACTACCATGCCAATACCCTGTGGAGGCTTCATGCCCGTGTTTGTGTTGGGTGAGTTTCCATCTTTTCCTGGAGCTTCTCAGAGTGGGGTTTCACAGGCAGAGACGGTGACAGAGGGCACAGCTGACAGAGACACAGAAAAAAGCCGAACGGGGGGAATGTGGAGGACTCTGACTTTCTGCCCCTCTGGTGGCTGTCAGAGAACCTATTAACACTCCAGCTTGTAGCCAGCTTCTCATCCCCTGCTTCTTTCCCACATTCTTGCTGATTCCTACAAATTCACAAATGATGGTTAGTATCCCCCCTGTTCATGGGACTCCAGCTAGTTAGAGCACATGTGGTCAGAACTGAAACCTTATGCTTACTTCAAGCTGGAGTGGAGGCATCTTGAGTGGAAGGCAAGCTAAGCAGTAAACCTGCTGTTCTTCCTCTGTGGGCATTTTTGTAATAAAGGAAATGTAAGCTCAAGCCCGAGTGGCATCTTCTTGGCCTCTCTTACACGCCTGCTGACCATTCTGTTCATTTGGCTGCTCACTAACCGTTTTGAAGGAGATCATTTCTTTGCACTTCACACTTTGCTAGCAGATCCAATACAGAAAAATGGCTAAGGGAGAAACTGCATTTATTAGTCACCTGGGTACTAACAGCTGGTTTCACCATGGGCTTTAGGTGCTGCCTTTGGACGCCTGGTGGGTGAAATCATGGCCTGGTTTTTCCCTGATGGGATTCTCTTTGATGGCATCGTGTACAAAATCTTGCCTGGAGGTTATGCCGTGATTGGTAAGCCTACCCCACGTTTTTGGGAGTTGGAACTACAAGCCCAGCCAAGCTCTCTGTGATGCTAACTTTCTTGCTTTATGCCCATGTCCTGTAATTCGGAAAGGAGCTGCGGCCCTGACTGGTGCAGTGAGTCACACGGTGTCCACAGCAGTGATTTGCTTTGAGCTGACAGGGCAGATCTCCCACATCCTGCCGATGATGGTGGCTGTCATCCTTGCCAACATGGTGGCCCAGAGTCTGCAGCCAAGCCTTTATGACAGCATCATCCAAGTGAAGAAATTGCCCTACCTGCCGGACTTGGGCTGGAACCAAATAAGGTATAGGGCTATTGAAAGGGAGGGACAAAATGGAGTAATAGATGCTGGGATAAGGAGATGCTGGAGGACGTGGGTCATTTCAACTTCAAAGCAGAAACCAAATATGGGAAGAAGGGAAACTGTCTTGGGCATAATCCTCAGGCTTTGTTTTAGAAAGCCATCAAACAAGTAGCTCAAAAGTGGCAGCCGAAGTATATTGTGCAGCTGTTTCAAATGTTTTCATGTCAGTGTAGTTGCTTTGCATATGAAGAGAGTGCAAGTCAGTCTTGACTAAGGATGTGAGAGGAATCCATCAGATTTCCTTAGCTTGGCCACCAGGGTTCCATCTCTTGCCCATGCACTTGCACTGAATCATTGCAGCTCAAGTCAAGCCAGCTCACAGGCTTCCCTATGTAAGATGGAGGGAATTTGTGTGCTTCTTTCCAAATACCAATAGACTTGTGCAAACTAAGACCCAGAAAGCATGTGACTTTAACGTGGCCAGCACTATTTGTGATCTGCAGGTAATTCACATGTTTTTCAGGTGCCATGGAGCTTCCAGGTTTGGGGTAAAATTCAAAGTGTGGTTCTTACGTTTTCATGCCTGAAATGTCCCATCTCTTCCTATGTGGGTTCCTCTGGGTGGTTCAGTCCTCTGATTGGGTCCTGCTCCAAGCACTCGTGAGGGCCAGTGGCATTCTTACCTTGGAATGCCCTCCCTCCACTGGTTTGGCTGGCCTGCTTAAGTGTTCAGGACTTTTTCATGCTGGGAGCTGCTTAGAGTTAACTAGAAGTGCTACTTCTCTGGATTTTCCCATTATTTATTTCTTCCTAATTGTTTGTACTGGATTGTAACTTTGGGTGAAGGAGCTACCCTGACAAGCAGTAGCTGCAAGAGAGATTATAATGGATGGATGGATGAACCCCTGCCTACTGTCTAATTATTTATGCCTTCTTTGTTTTCAACTTTCGCCCACTCAAGCAAATACAACATCTTTGTTGAGGATATTATGGTATGTGATGTCAAATTCGTCTCCTCTAATTGCAAATACCGAGATCTGCAGGAGATACTCCAGAACACTACTGTGAAAACCTTCCCTTTGGTGGATTCCCCAGGTGAGCTGTATTAACAGGCCCCATTTCCTGTTGGACAGACTTGGATCTGGCCCTCCCAAAAGAGCACTCTTGTTTCACACCTAAAACCATCAGTGATTGATTCAAAAGTGCCTCATGTTAAGCAAACCAACCAATTCTGGACAATAAGATTCAGCTAACCATAGCATGATTTAATCATCATTTTGTTGTTTAGTCGCAAAGTCATGCCCGACCCATCATAATCCCATGGACAACATTCCTCCAGGCCTTCCTGTCCTCCACTATCCCCTGGAGTCCACCTAAGCTCACACTGACTGCTTCAGTGACTCCATCTAGCCACCTCATCCTCTGCCATCCCCTTCTTTTGCCATCAATTGTTCCCAGGATTAGGCTCTTCTCCAGGGAGCCCTTCCTTCTCATTAGGTGGCCAAAGTATTTCAGTTTCATCTTCAGGATCTGGCCTTCTAAAGAGCAGTCAGGGTTGATTCTCTTTAAGATTGACTGGTTTGATCTCTTTGCATTCTTTATCATAGTCTTATGGTATTGTACAAAATGGGGCAGAAGAAAACTTTTTAAAAATAGGGCTAAGTTGAAACTATCTACAGAGTCTCCATTTCAGTTGCAATCTAAGTCCAAACCACCTTGACTTTTGTTAGATGTTTTTGGTCCCCCTGTCAATATCCTATTCATAATGGTGTTATAGTGAAATGTGCTGAGAGAGCTCTGCTGTCCAGGTAAGCCCCAAAGGGCCAGCAGCCCAAAGAAAAGCTGCATTATGGGCTTTATAACTCCTAAGTGAAACAGCTTTGAAAAGAACTGATTTTCCCCACAACATTCCTGATTTTGTTGAAAGGGCATGTTTCAGACAGCATAAAAATTAGGTCCAGGTCTAACTCGAAACCTGACGTAGAAGGCCTGCCTGAGATACTTGTGCTTCAGAAGTCTTATTGCTTTGGTAATTTGACTTGGTGAGTAAGACCGATGGGGTGGGGAGGGGTTGAAGAAACTGCTTGGAGAACTTGGAAGGGTGAGAAGGCCTGGGCAGCAGGGCTTGGTCGTCATCCCCTTGGCACAAAGAGCTTTGTGTGGGAGGGAAGGAGGCAACAGCAGGCTGCTCTCAGATACTGCGTGGGCTCAGCAGCTGCTGCTGCTCTGTGTGGAAAGCTAGCGCTGCTTCTGAAGAGCAAAGGATGAGGAGGAGGTGTCGGCACATGAGAAAGACTCCGAGGTATTTCTGGAGGGGCTGCAATGGAGCTGGACATGTTGTGTCATGGTTTAATTTCACAAATGAGGCTCAGAGGCGGGAGAGGGGCTGCTCTGCTGCAAGGAGCCCTTGGTATGAAGACCAGGGCCCAACTAATGTTCCTGTGTGAAAAATGAGGTGTACTAGCTCTAGAGTTAGACCAAAGGCTTCAGTATTCTTAGGCTGCTTTTTTCCTATGCCACTCGGTCATGGTTGGAAAGAAGCTTTGATTCTGGCGAGGCAATAGTGCTTTGGGATATTTTTAACCATTTTTTCCTTCAAAGGATGCTTCCATAGCAGCTCGTCTCCAAATGTTTGAGAAGGATTCTGGGGTATGCGTGAGGTGATAGACTTGGTTGCTTTGCAGGGCTGTGGCAGAGCCTGTTAGGCATTACTGCCACACCATGTGAATGGAAATAGTGCCCTGGAGGCCTGCAGTGCATCTAGCAGTTTCCCAAGTCTCTCTACATTACAAGGGAAGACCAACAAAAGCAGGGAAGCTTGTCCACTATTCCTGGTCTTCCCATCAATGGGCTGCCGTTAAGCATCTTGTAGTACTCCGCTGAACACAGGGTGCAAACTGCTGCTCTGCAGCATGGAGCTGTCCTAGGGCCAGTCTCCCCTGCTTTGCACCTCCGCACACCTGATGTGTTGGCAACCACATTTAGGTGAGCTGGGGGTGACTGGCGGGGAGCCTACTGACTGCCAGACCACACCTGCATTAGAGGAGCTGCCTGGCCTTACCTGCTTTCGTTTCTTTTCTTGCAGAGTCCATGGTTCTGATGGGCTCCATAGAGCGGCCAGACCTCAAGGCCCTTCTGCTCCGGCACCTCAGCCCTGAGAGGCGTCTGCGCCTCGCCAAGGAGAGGCAGCAAAAGTTGGCTGAGTCACCCTATGATGGGCAGAGGTGGAAGCTTGAGTCATTTGCCTTTGTAGATGAGGATGCAGATGAAGAAGAAAAGACTGAGGTAGTGATGGTGACGAATATTCCCCATACTGGATAGGGTGGAGAGTGTAAGAAAAAGGGGGAAACTGGTGAGGGGGGGAAGGATGGAGAACTTGCCTAGCAAGATAGAATGTGATCCTGGAAGTTCTTGTCTCATATCTCCTTGGAATTTCCTTGCTCAGCCTAAGCCCCTCTCATCTGCACTGTGAAGTTAATGGCTGCGTATTTTGTAAGGTTTATTGCAAGACTGCTGAAGTACGAAGCTGCCTTATGCTCAGTCAGGCCCCCGTTCCCTCTAGTCCAGTATGGCTGACACTGACTGGCAGTATCTCTCCAGGGTTTTACACAGGGATGTTTCCAGCCCTCCCTGGATATGTCAGGATCGGACTTGGGACTTTTTGCAAATGAAGCAGTTGCTCTGAGCCATGGTCCCTCTTTGAGGGCAGCATTTTAGGAAAAAGAGTAGATGCACCCTTATTTATTTAAAGTCAACCTCTACCTAGTTTTCTTTCCCCTTCTTTTGCAGCTTCCACAGCAGCCTCCATTAGCTTCCAGTTACTCAGAAGAACCAAATGGCCCAGTGACTCCTCATATACCGTTACCAGAGATACCACCACCTCATGAAGCTCCCCGTACGGTGACTTCTTGGCATCTTGGGGTGGGATATCTCAGCCTCTGCTTGGGCACCTCACTGCCTTTGCCTGTCTGTGCTTTTTGAAGTGGTGGAACAAACGAGGCCACCTGCATATTGCCAGGGAGTAGGCCAAGAATCCCACCGCTAATTTGGAGAGGAATGTGGCCATGTGTGGCAATGACGAAGGACAAGGGAAGCGCTGCTTCTGTATATGTACGAAGTCCGATTTTGCTGCTCTGGGCAGTATCAGTGGCCTTCTCTGGGGTTAAGCAGTTAGACCAGGTGTTCTGGCATCCAAACAGTTTTGGCCCTCAGCACCTATCTTTATCTGTGAAGGTCCTGTATATTATTCTGTCCACATTCCCTCTGGGCTACTTTTAGGGTAATCATCCTTCATGTTACTTTCACCTTCCAAGTAGTGGCTGAAGCTAGAAGTGAGTGACTGTTCTGCCCCTCCAGGGTCAGAAGTTTAGGATCTGAGCATGTGTTATAGCCATGGCTGCTATGAATCAAAGGCCTGCAAAAAGAGTGGTGAGGCTGGAAGGGCTGCTGTGGGAAGAAGTGGGCGAGGAGGCCTGCTTCCCTTGGCACAGTTGATCCGGCTGGATCCAAGCGGGCAATTGGGCTGTGCTGGAATAGGGCAACTATCCAGCAAGGAAAACCCAGCTGGCAAATTCTCTGGCTTGGCTGTGAAACTGACCAGGTCAGGTTGTTGGATTAGATCTCACTGCAAAATTGACTGGAGACCTGAGTTCTCGGTCGAAGTTGATAGGATGCTGTTTTTGTAGCTGCTGCTGTTGCAGTTGTGCTGCTTCAAAATACACAGAGCCAAATGCACAGCAACAAGTGACAAAATGATGCTGAGAAGCACCCGGTTCATACTGAGAGGAGAAGCTGGGTGTGTGACCATGCTGAGGGTTGTGTGCTTTGAAGCAGCACAACTGCTTTGCTGTGGACAGAACATAGTGAAATGCACACACACAAGTGCCAGACCTCCTGAATTCCGAATGGTCAGCTACGATTTTCCTTGTAGCTCACTGCCAAAAAGTTCAAGGAAGCCTTTTGCTGGGAAGCACCCCAAGTTGAGGACCAGATCAGTATTATTGCATTGCATTTATATCTCATCTTGTTCAAACACGCACATTCTCCCATTTTTTTGACACATCCTTTAGCTCTTCATCTAACACTGCCTGGCTGTTAATACTTATGGTTTATACTGTACTTTCAGATTGCTTCACAGATATTAGTTTGCATAATACTTGCAACTTTGTAAAGAGGATCACTATTGTTATGTCCACATTTCAGCTGGGGGAAGGGACTGAAGTCGAGAGACAGTGGCTTACCCAAGGCTACCTGGTAAAATTTGAACCACAGACTTCTTGAGTCCTTGCTCTGTCATCCTAACCACATGTTTTCCACTGTTCCTCAAATGCAGCTGCTCAGCTGTCATGCCTGTCAGGCACCCATTTTCTTAGCCAAGATGTGAAGGAGGCTCCACCCCAGAATCTGTATATGTCTCTGGCTCAGCCCCATCAAACTTAGTCTGGTCAAACTCAGTGCTGCTACACTCATGCCTAGCTATCGCCTCAGGCTGCCACATCAGGTGTTACCTTGCATGTGTGCATGAGCCATCACAGATCACCTTTCACAAACAGAAACTCCGTATGACCTTGCATCAAGCGAAATGCAACATGTTTCAGTTAGGATAATTAATTTATTCAGTTGTGAGCCATCAGGTGACAAGTATTCAAGTGAAAAATTGGGTGATGTTCACACCTGTATGAACAAGCCTTTATACTGTCCCAGTGTAGGGAACATCTGGTGCTGTTGTCTGCTGTGGCCTGTGCAGTTTTGCTCTGTCAAAAATCAAAAAGGATTGAGCGCTCTCTTGGTAGCATTCAGCCACTGCAAAGCTTACTTGTTTGAAGGGGAAGGAAACAGCTTTGCTGCTTTGCACTCTAAACTCCCACACGTTCCTTGCTCTTGTTCCTCATTTCACCTTTCCCACAGGCCGGAGATTCTGGAGCTTGAGGAGACTGATGCAGCAGCTTCTGTGCCTTTATCATCCTCCACCTCAGCCAGAGACTGTTCAGCAGGTGAGGAGCCAAGGAATTCTCTTGCACCCGACTAATTTTGGAAAGAGAGGCCTGATTGCTACGACAACCCAAGACAGAAGCACTTATGGAGATGAATGAGGGAGAAACTAAAGAAATTAAATATCTGAGTCCTCAGAATGAAGAGCTGAGTGGGTGTATGGGCATACATCTGTTTCTGAAATAGATGTCAAAAAGTATGTAGACATCTACTTTAGTCTCTCCATTGTGACAATTACACAAATGGCAGGTTTTGGTGTTGCTAGAATGCCTGAACTATCCCTCGGGCACTTTGCACTTCATGGTATCCTTGTGTAAAAATTCTGTGGCAAGCTTATACAAATTCTGTATGATGATATGCTAGTGGGCATGTGGTTGGCTGCTGTGGAAACGGAATGATGGACTAGGTGGACCTTTGGTCCAGCGAGGCTCTTCATATATACATACATTCTTAAGTTTTGCAACCCACAGAATCAAACACACTTTTTTGATTTGTTCTGGCTTATTTTTTGTTATTCTTGCAATTCCCTCATAAGTCGTGTGCACAGAGTGGGGGGCAATTGTGTTTCCTCCTTGGGCACTTCCTCCTTTGCAGCTTCTTTTACTCCAGTTACTTGTAAGGAGCCAGAGACAAGGAGCATGACTCTGTTGTCTCAGGGAGCTGGGACAGGAGAGTGAACTATATTTCGTATTTGGAAAGATTTCCCAGTTGGTTTGGAATTAGCCCTTCGAATTCTTCCACCCCTGACAGCTCTTTGCTGTGCCTGGTTGGGCAGTCCCCTCTCCAACTCCAGTCCAACCAAGATCCACCAGACAGTCTTCACGTATCTGCAAGCTTCTGTTTGCAGGTACAGGATGCAGGTGTTTCTTTCTTTTTAATGAAAGCTTAGATTCTCAAGAAGCTTGATTCTGTACTCCATACATAACTATGTGTACCTTGTACAGGATCTTGTAATGCGCAGTGCCTAAGGTTTCTTAGGGATGAAATGGTATTTCTTCTGTCCCGATATTCTGACACAGATGTCAGGCTTGATCTCTTTGTTCTGAGTTTGGGATGTATTTTTTGTTCCCCTCAGGAACCAGTAGAGGTTGAAGACCCAATGAAGCGAGAGGAGGTATGTTTGGAAGCATAGTAGTGGAGATGCATGAAGGGAGTTGGCAAGGCTGTCGTTCTGTATCAATCCCATGTCTTGAGATTCAATGGAATAATCATGGGATTAAAACAAATCACAATATCTATCTTTATATCTTCTTTGCCACAAAAAATGATATTGCTATTAAAAACTACCCTCATTTCCCCCCAAATAATGCTGCTGTTTGTATGTATTGCTGTCAGTTTGTGGTTTAGTAGAACAATGAACAAGAATATGGTTCTCCACCCCAAAGAATCTAAAATTTAATGTGTGAGAGATAAAGACAGGGGTGAGGGAACAAGGGGAAAGAAATGGATTTGCTTCAGCTACAGATGTGTAGGCTTAATTTTAGAAGGAGTTGAAAACTAAATGGTTATATCAAAGGCTTCATGGAAAGAAGGTGGGAAGAGAGATCTAAAGGGAGACAGATGTGCTAAGGAGGACTTCAAAGGAAGCATAAAGGGTAGCAAGGGAGAAAGAGTAGAAAGGTGGTATTTGCATTGAAAGCAAGGGGGCAAGCGGAGCTTCAGCTGTTACAAGTGTCTCCAGAACAGTAGCACTTCCTGGGCATAAGAATAAGCACTGAGCACTCCCACTAGTCGTGGGAGCCTGTTGAGAGTGGACCAAGGAGGTGGAGCATGCATGCGGCAGTGCGAAGCGTGTGCAAGCTGTGTGTACAAAGCCCTCTTTTCCTGTGTCAGATAGAAGCTTGGGAGCAGGAGGAGCTAGACAAAGAGGTGTGCTTCGACAGCTGCCGCATAGACCCTTCCCCCTTCCAGCTGGTGGAGAGAACATCCCTGCACAAGGTGGGTGTCCTCACTCCCCCTTCCATCTTTTTGCACAGGCCTTTGCCAGACAGCCTTGGTCCCCTTCAAAACCCGTGCCCGCTCTTCTGTTCTTTTCATGACTCTCGATCATGATGCTTTGCCATAGAAACTCAGCCAAGAGCCGTTTTGCTTCCTTTTCATGTTAGCAAGAGTCAGAATTGCTCAGCCCTTCCTTTTCTAAAGCTTGTGATTTTCACAGCCACCCACATACCCTTGTGATCCTGCCTCTTTGCCGCCTCAGTTCCCCTGCCTTTCCACTGCGTCCGGAGTATCCAACATCTCCTGCCCGTGAGCTGTGCCTGCACAACTTGCGACCCATCCCATGGGATGTGGCTTGTACTGCAGCCTGCCTGGAGCTTGAGTGCTCTTTCTCCTTCCCACTTTTATGGTTTCAGGCGAGCCATCAAAATAGGTGGCTTATGGAAACCTGGGTGGGCTGCCATGCCTGCCTGGTAGGTGGCACACCCGAGTTGTGCAGGCCTGCCCTCAGCTGTCTGCAGGGCCTTCCTCTAGATCCTTTGCCCTTCTTCTCTCCCCTCCTCTCCCCACCAGGTCATCCTGCCTCTGCAAATATTGATCAGCAGCGAGGGGCTGCAAGCATGAGGTGAATGTGAAGTGTGTGGCTGAGGCCTTACATGCACATCTGTAAACATATTTCTAAAAATATAGAGTCTAAGTTCCATCATTAGCCACAGATTTAGGCATCATTTTCAAACCCTGCCTCAGTGCTGCACAAGGAAGCCCCCTCGCATCACCCTTTTAGTACTGCGCCTCTCCTAACAGGGGCATTTCTTTAGAATAACGTAGTTGGTTAGGTGACCTAATTTCTGTTCAGAGAGTTAGCTGTTGGAGAGGAGGCAGCGCAGCTGTGCCTGGAGGCTGCTCTTGAGACTTGGGCGGAGAGCGTGCCTGCGGAGCAACAGGTGCAGGAGCTGTTGAGCCGGACGTTTGGGCTAATCATCCTCAGCACGGTGCTACCACTCCATGACGCAAGGTGGTGCAGGTCACAGTGGGATGCATCCATGAATGCCAGATTCAGCGCACCTGCTGACTAGGATGGCAGTGCTTAGTTGACTCATCGATTTGAAACCTTTGCATCAATTTAAATCCTTGAATAAGTAGATAGTAGGGTTTTTAAAAGTTGTCTTTAATAGAAATGCATACAACTGTGGGTGCTGTTCCTGCCATAGCAGAACCATCTCACCTGCCTCCTTGGCTCACCAGCGAGTGTGCTTCAGCCTCTTCAAAGAGCTTGCTTGCTAACTTATGCACTGGTGGCAGCGAAAACCAACATTTTACAGTGCGAATCTCTGAACGTCTTCCTGGAAATAAGCCCTGTTGAGTTCAGTGAGGCTTACCTCTGGATAGGTGGGCACAGGAGCACAGGCTGAATCAACTCCAACTCATACAATTAACTAAGGTTTATTTCACCAGGTAGTAGTCATATATATGACCCACCAAGCTGACCACAGCCTGTCACCCTCCTGGCGTGGTTGTCTGAATCTAGCGACTTGTCAAGCACCTGGCATGCCGGTATATGGCAGCAAGCTAGATTTTGCCTGATGTGTCACAAGTGCTGCAGAAGTAGGTGCATTCACTTAAAGAAAAACGTAATCCATAATTATTCTCATTGCTGCATTATGTAATAGCAGTGGATTTGCTGCAGTCAGTTCTAGATAGCAGCAAGGCATTGTGTTGTGTCCTTGGGTGGGGGGACTCCCATCTCTGGCTGTTCAAACTCTGAGTGTGAAGATGTCATGTCTAGGTTTCCTTTTCCCAGGTGGGTACAACAAAACCCATCACAAGCCTGGTTTGGATTTTCCATGAGTCTGCAATGATCCATCTACTGTTCTTTCTAATTGAGGGAAACTCTCTTACCCTCCCACCCCACAGACACATACGCTGTTCTCATTGCTGGGACTCACCCATGCCTATGTAACCAGTTTGGGGAAGCTAAGAGGTGTTATTGCACTGGAAGAGGTACGTGAAGTCTTGTCACCTTGTATTATTATCCCTTTCCTTCTTAGTATTATTATTCTTTAATCAGACAGATATTGAATGCAATAATAGTTTGGCAAATTAAATTTTGCCCAGAGGAATGAAAAAAAAAAAGAGATTTTTCACCACTTCTGGCTGGAGAAAGACAGTGTTATTCCCGCCCCCTGCTTATAAAAGAGCCGAAAGAATTGTGAGTGGGGTACTGCTGTCCTTTGCACGCACGCACAATTCTTTCATCCCATTTTTGCCTCTGGCTATACGGGATTTGCAGAAGTTTAACAATGCAGAAAGCTCCAAACCCTGGTTAATAGAGCAGAAAGTGAGATGTGTGTTTCTATCATGGGCAGTGATCCCTCTTTCAGCCTCCTTCAAAACACTGGTCTGTTCCTTGTTCACCATTAGGATGCCTGACTGGACTGCTTCCTCTTTTCCAAAGGACAGAAATTACTTTTGGTTGGGGAATATTTATGCGAGAAATTTGTATATGTTTTATCTTAGTTTGCCTGATGTGGTTCTCCCTTCCCCTGCACCCCTTCAAGAATCACAGAAAGTATAACTCAGGGTGCCAAGAACTCTTTGTTAGAGATTGCTACAAGTCGCTCAGATTGTACTTTGTGGGCGTCCTGGAGTGAGGGAATGACTGGGCAGGTCTGCACAACATAAGCAGCCATGGGGAAATGTTACCATGGCGGGTCTGTTGTGTCATCTGGACCTAGTTCCAGAGGATCTGCATGGTAAGAGTAGTTGTCTGAAACTTTGGAGAGAATCAACAGTCTGTTCCAGGGTTTCCATGTTTCACTGTGGCTTCTCTGGTCATCCAGACCTGTGATCATTGTTTTACCATTGTTGATATTGAAACACCACAGAGTCCCCTTCAAGAACTGCAAAGATTGCTACTTCTAGCCTTCAATCTCTACTGTCTTCAGCACACTAGCACCAGATGATGCATTATTCCCATTGACTGAGCAGTGTGTCTGCCTCCCTGTTTACTTTTAGAAACAGGGAGACAGCATGAAAATACTTGGAGGGAGAAGGGGGTGGGGAAGACAGTTAACAGTTTATCATTTAATAAAAATCTCTGTGGGGGTTGGAGTGGCTGGGAAGCACTGAGAACATGGAAGTACACTTGGGAGGGAGAAAGGGGGGATTTGCCTCGGGGCCACAGCGGACCAATCAGGAGGAGGCTGCTGTGGTCTACAGGGAAGAGGGAAAGAATGGGGGCTTTCTTTGCAGGGACCGCCAGGATGCCTGGTGGGCCTGGGAGGATGGATTGGGGAGCATGGAAACTGTGCTGCCTGGGGAACCACATAGCTCTCTGACCGGTCAATTCAGGCAAAAATGCACACACAGTAGAAACAGTGCAGGGTTGTCTGCTGTGTTGTGTAAACCCAGTCCATGTCTAACTTAATCTGCAGTGTAGACATAGTATTTTGATAGAGCAACTGGAGAGCCTGCATCCTTTGCACGCATACTGCATGGTCTTTTGATTTGAGAAGACTGGTCTTTAGGCATGTTTCTGTCAAAATTGTGGGACCTCTTATTTTGTCAGAATGGAGTTATTTCTCAGCTGTGGGGGCGCAACTGATGATTTCCTATGTCAATTTTCTGTTCCTAAAATTCTCAGCTCCAGAAAGCAATCGAAGGCTCCACACGCTCTGGTGTCCACCTTCGTCCTCCCCTTGCAAGCTTCCGTGATGCTACCCGGACCGCGAGCAGCAAGGAGCAAGCCAAATGGACTGCACAGATGTGGAGCACTCAGAACAGCAAGGTGGCACCAGGGGGAACCATGGTGGACTCGGGGACAGAGAGCTCAGTGGCACCCCCCTCTCCTATCCCCCCACCATCTCTCATCCCGAACGAAGGGAAAGGGATACGCTCCACCTCCGTTGCTGATATGGAACTGGAGGAAATGGAGCTTTCAGGTCCAGCTGAGGAGAACATCTCCAACATCCTCAAGGACCTCAACCTGTGTGCCACAGACCGGGATGAGGATGACGACGACGAAGATGATGATGTGCCACTATAATGGTTTGGAGGAAGGGTCCACCTCATCCTTCCACCAAGCCATGCCTGCCACACCTGCGCTTCCAGGAGAGGCCCATGGCCTGCCACTCTGGCACTGATAACGGGTCTCTGTGCTGGAGGGCCTTGGCCAGGCTGAGTGGCTTTTCCTCTGCCGCCCTTAGTGGGTGGGGTATATGGGAGACAAATGGGCTGGAGAAACCTCTAGTCTTGCCTCCTTTTACAATAATGTTAAGTGTGGAAGAGGTATTCCATAGGGCCCCGGTCCCTGTAGGGAGATGTTCATATCCAACACTGTAGCAATTTGCCCTCAGGTGAAGCCGCCCCTTGCGTTTCCTCCCTTGTCCCCATCAGCCTGGAATGCCCCCCTAAATTTTCCTTACCTTGTTTGATGAAATTCTCATCTGGAGAAGAAGGAGATGAAGGATTTGCCCAGGATCCTTCTAGGTGTGAGGAGTATTCAGCCCAACTTGAGAACAGGCCCAGAATGAGAAAGCAATTATTTCTTACACAGTTTTCAGTTTTGCAGTTACCTTCCCTTCAGGCTAATCCTCCCTCAATGCACCAAGCTGAGACTGCTGCCCTGCTGCTCCATACATCTCTCAGAAGCATGGCCTTAAGCTATGCTTCCTTTCTGCCACCTACCAGACCCTTTTTTGTCCTACATTCCCACCTAGAAGTTTCACTCATTCTGAAACCTACCACTGATGTGTGAGATTGGGTTGCAAACGTTACAAGCAAGGCAAATTCGTTACTGAGGGTAGAAGATCTGTCCCATCCAGTGGAGAAAAATCAGTTCGTTGTTCAGTCTGTATAATCTGAGCTGTAATTTTACAGATCAGGGAGCCTTATTGGCTAATGTGGCGGGATAAAAATCCAACAAACAAATAAAAAAAATAACTAGTGCTGAGGTGTGAAAACTGAGCAGACTCAGTGACTTGGCCCTGTGTACACAGACCAGCAGAGCCCTTTTAAAAATCTAAAATACTGCTGTTTGGTGATAAGGGCAGTGATTCCACCCCCATGAACAGCCAAGAAATCCACCCCCACCCCACAACTTCCAGATCAAAGAGAGGAACTCCGTGCACAGGTCATAGTTGTACATGTAATTTGCCACCCTTGGGAACCTGTGGTTCATGTATTACCCCTAGATGGATCAGGATTCCACTGTTTTTCTGAAAACTGTGAAATCAAAAAGGGCATGTCTGTGAAGTTAGCCCATGAGTGAGGATGCAGTTGTTCAAATAAGGCTGTATATATGTCACCAAGGTCTTAAATGTTCATGTCTTACTGTCTTTATAATCACATAATGAAAATGTCTGTAAAGCAATTGTCTTAAATATAGGAAATCCTGAGAAGAAGCTGTTGTGGTGAAAGCAGGTGGCAGGGAAACCAAGAGGAGCTGCTACTTCTACGAGCGTATCTTTCCTTCAAGTATATATAGGGCTTCTACCAGTTTAACAGTTCCCTCCCACCCTGCAAAGAATGGTATAATGCAAAGAAGGGTAACTTGCCAGCCAAAACGCCTGGAGGGACCTTGGTGCCAGCCAGCAGAACCAAAGAGGAGGGATGGTGGGACTTGTAGACCAAAATACCTGAAGGGCCACAAGTTGCCCTTCTTTTCCCTAGTGTCCAACACAGAGAAGAGACCCTGCCTGTGACCGGCTGTAGTTTGGTCTCTTGCTGCCACTGCAGTGCCTCCAACCCCCTGCTCTCACTTCCTTGCAGTTTGAGTCCTAGTGTCTTGGGGCAGGCATCTCAGTTAATCAAGACACAGCTCCTGAGCAAGAACCAGCCTGCCAAATGGAGACGAGAGCATCTATTTGTTTTTTGGCTCATGCAGGTGACTAACACCTGAAGGAACAAAAAAGTCTGCCCAGCTATCTTGGCCTTGCCTGTGTCAAAACGGTTTTTAAAATGTAGGGCATACAGTCTCCGAAATTCCCCAGCCTTTTATGGACTGTGTTTCACAGACCATTAAAAATGATTAAGTGAAAATTACCAGAACAAAACCAGGAACACACATGTGCAGAGGGCTTTGGGAATAACCTTTCTGACAATGGCCCATAATAGATTTTTTGGTCAGGGCTCAGCAGTACCATCCTGGGGTGGGGGTGGGCATGTGCAATTTTAACAGCCACATGCCAGTGAGAAACTCAACAAATGAGCCTTCTTCCTGTTGCCCCATCCATTCTGCTGAGAGAAAATGTCAACCTCTTGCATTTCTCTGTGATTCAGTGGTTAGAAGTCCCCCTAGAGCAAAGTGGCAATCTTGCCAGTGCAGAATATGGCTGGTGCTTTAGTTTAGAAGTGTAGAAAGCATGACTCCTACAGCCCTACCAGAACCACATTGGACAAGGTTTTTGTTTTGCTTGGCCACCTTCACTTTTTCTGAAGTTCTGTTCTGCTCTTCACATCATCTCTTGAGTGGTTTGTAGCAACAGGATGGTTAGCCATGCTTGAGTGTCATGTTCAAGATATATCAATGGCAAACACCTGTGTCTGGACATGGATCAATCATCCTTTAGAACACACATTTAGCATAGTTAAAAGATGCATGGATGAGCATGGGCGTCCTGACATTGTTTATGAATAGCTTTTCAGAATTCATTAACTTGGATATTTAAGAGACATGCCACTTGGCATTCCTGAACCCTAGGCAAATGTCAAGATCTCCCAACATCCTTCCTTTACCTGCTTTTGAACAAAAATGGACAGGTCTGATGTGGAGCACTATGTTGTCATTTTAAGCCTATTCCTTCAAAGGTGGAGGTGGAAAGGCAAGCAGTGCCTCCAGCTTGCCAAGCGATGAATGATGTAGCCATTCAAAGCACAGTGTTTCTTCTGCAGCCCTTCATCTGCCCTAAGTATTCTGCCAATTTACCCTCTGATGCCTGTTCTCATTGAGGTTGGAAACTCGTGCCCAGGCTGTGCCACTTTAGACTGCAAATTACGTTCCTCCGTAGTCCTTCATACAAAAACAAAAAACCTTGCACATACAAAATATATATTGGCTGGTTTCTGACACATGTGTATGTGAAGAGGTTTTTAAAAATGGGGAGCATTTAGTCATATCCACTCCTGATTGTGTCTGAAGCTGTACAGCCCAGAAGCCACCAAGAGAATCAGCTCAGCATCTCAAATGTTTTGTGGGCCTTCTGAGGGCTTTGCAAGGTTATCCTGTACCAGATGAGAAAGTTCAGAGAAAGAGTTGCATATGGCATGCATACCCAGATTGCCTCTCTTTTCTCTGCACTTGGGAGAAGAGCAGGTGTTTTGGCTTCACACATCTACACTGTTCTGGGAATAATTAAATACAAGCATTGCCAAAACATGCATCAAAGTTACAGCAATGTATAGAATATCAATACATACAGTATAAAAAACCCCTCTTCAGTTAATGCTGTAGCTGCACACAAATCTGCTTTTACTTTAGAGCAGACCATGGCCTAGTTCTTACTGTGTGGGTGGTACTACAGAGATACTAAAGAGGGCACCTCCTTTTGGCACATCAGAACATAACAAGAAAGGCTATTTTGTAACCCCCTTTCTGAGTCATCCAGGTTTCTATGCAGAGAGAAATATTTTGCCTGGAGAACCATGCAGGCCCTTATCTGCAGCCTGAACTAGTACAGCCACAATACTGGATGACAAGCTGACTAGGCCTCATTTACAAAGCATTAGGCTTTATGAAATATTGTGGAACCCACACTGCGTATGTCATTTCTAAAATTTCGCTCATACATTGAGTGCATTGCTAAGTATATGCTACACTAGCTTTGAGGGGCCTAGGGTGGAGAGCCAACTTTTTGTCAGGGTAGTGTTTAATTCGCTTCTAGAGCAACCATCTCAACAGATTGTATTCATTAAATTGAACCCAGAATTACAGAAAATGTCCAGTATCTGATAGCATGTTTGGGCAGATTCTTCCGAGGCTTTCCACCGAGCACGAGAGCAAGAATCTTGCCTTCTCCATCTTCACAGGCCTAGGGTAGGCTGCATTCTTCTACTCCTTGGAACGCGCTAGGACCTGTTCTCTCCTCTGCTCTCTAGTTGCTGTTCCCCCAGGATGGACACCTGTCCAGCACCCTTCTTTTCTGGTGCACTCCCCGATTCTTCCCAGACCCCACTCCCTAATTTCCTTGTGAATGCAATGCAAATCCATTGGGAGAGGAAGGGGGAAAGATACCAGGGTGGTTGCTCCAGGCATGGAAGTACCATTTGCCAAAGGGCTGCCACAAAGCAGCCTTTTGGCTGGTATGTCCAGGCATCGTCTCCATAGAGGGTGTGTGTGTGTGTGTGTGTGTGTGTGTGTGTGTGTGTGTGTGTAGGGAAGACACCATTTCCCCCCTTAAGAGAACAGCAGTGCATTTAAAATTAAAACCTTCAGAAATATGACACCTTCTCTCATTTCAAAGTATGCAGACACTTCATTAATAATCGTTCATCTTTCCAAGATTGAAGAGCTGGAGTCTACGGATGTACTTTTGTATTCTTAAAAGTCCCAAATAGACACCATTATGTGTTATCCACCACAAAATGTCAGCTGTGCACCTGTTTCCCCTGTCTAAAATGTAGCAGATGTTATCTCAGGCTTCTGCCAATATTGTATTCCAGGTCCACCACCACAGACTTGACTGCTGCTGGCAGGGACGTGTGGAATGTTGTGCGGCTGCAACGTGAGGTACACTCTACAGGCCCTGTGTTGGAGAAGCTGAAGGTTCACTGCATGGCGGCCATTTTCAGGGACAGCTAGTACATTTCTACTAATGTGAAATTTCACCACGACTTGACTACTGTTCCACAACACAGAAAGGTAGCAATATGTCCCAGATACTAACTACAAAGGTTGCATTCAGCAAAATGCCCCTTCCAATCTAGAGAGGAATAATGCTTTGCTTTTGCAAAATTTTGTGGAGAGGAAGGAAATATCTCTGGTGCTTTTTCCTCTCCATCCACATCTTTTCTTTTTTCCTGTTCACCAAGTCTTACACTCTGAGCTCA